TGCAAGTCTTCGTGGAGCTCTACAATGTTTCCTGCAAGTCTTCGTGGAGCTCTACAATGTCTCCTGCAAGTCTTCGTAGAGCTCTACAATGTTTCCTGCAAGTTTTCGTGGAGCTCTACAATGTTTCCTGCAAGTCTTCGTGGAGCTCTACAATGTTTCCTGCAAGTCTTCGTGGAGCTCTGCAATGTTTCCTGCAAGTCTTCGTGGAGCTCTACAATGTTTCCTGCAAGTCTTCGTGGAGCTCTACAATGTTTCCTGCAAGTCTTCGTGGAGCTCTACAATGTTTCCTGCAAGTTTTCGTAGAGCTCTACAATGTTTCCTGCAAGTCTTCGTGGAGCTCTACAATGTTTCCTGTAACTCTTCGTGGAGCTCTACAATATTTCCTGCAAGTCTTCGTGGAGCTCTACGATGTTTCCTGCAAGTCTTCGTGGAGCTCTACAATGTTTCCTGCAAGTCTTCGTGGAGCTCTACAATGTTTCCTGCAAGTCTTAGTGGAGCTCTACAATGTTTCCTGCAAGTCTTCGTGGAGCTTTATAATGTTTCCTGCAAGTCTTCGTGGAGCTTTACAATGTTTCCTGCAAGTCTTCGTGGAGCTCTACAATGTTTCCTGCAAGTCTTAGTGGAGCTCTACAATGTTTCCTGCAAGTCTTCGTGGAGCTTTACAATGTTTCCTGCAAGTCTTCGTGGAGCTCTACAATGTTTCCTGCAAGTCTTCGTGGAGCTCTACAATGTTTCCTGCAAGTCTTCGTGGAGCTCTACATTGTTTCCTGCAAGTCTTCGTGGAGCTTTACAATGTTTCCTGCAAGTCTTCGTGGAGCTCTACAATGTTTCCTGCAAGTCTTCGTGGAGCTCTACAATGTTTCCTGCAAGTCTTCGTGGAGCTTTACAATGTTTCCTGGAATATAAAACATGTTTCGGCCTAAGTGTAAATGGCGCCATTGCATCCTTCACTTATAATCACATTTCTTGGCCAAGTTATACCTTAAATACTTCATTGTTCTATCTAAATTACCCCGCGCGAACAATGTCTTCGTTAATTATGATTTATATTGCAATGAAGATCAAGTAAAAGGTAAAATATAGAATAATTCCCTCACCTGCTCGGCGCGCGCGTGCTCCTCGTCTGCTGGGTAGTGGGCAACTGACACCGGCCGGCCGGAGCCCGGAGGCTGCTCGGGGCGCGTGGTGGGCGGGAAACTCTTATCTGCATCGTGATTGGTTGGCTGGCGGGAGAGTCTAGTTGTAACGTCGTTTCTGATTGGTTTATTACCGGCTGGCCTCAAGACACGTGTTTTGACTGGCTGCCATCAAATTCTAAGGCTATTTTCTATTAGTTGATGCAATAAGTATTGTGATTGGTTGTGGTTTGAGCGCCAAGCTAAGGGGAGTAGAAATAGCCCAAGCTACTCTATTCCTTTGAGATGTATTTTTTTCTTGTCTCAATAAACATTCTTGAACTTGAACTTGACTTCTTTCGGAGAAACAGAAGGAGCCACTACGTGAAAATTTCCTTTCATTTTACGGAGCTTGTTTTAGTTTCTTCTCCTCCTGATACAAAATATTTGACTTAGCTTTCACAAGATAGTTTGTATATATGCGTCTCGGAATCATGTCATTGCAGTTAAACATAATCTTTCGTGGCCGTATTATAGGAATTATTCTTAACACGGCTCTGCATTTATTGGGGACAGATAGCCTACACAAACATTACAATTTTATGTACGTCAAATACAGATTTTTGGAATTATATAACATTTATTTGAAATTAAAATAATATGTGGTCATAAGACCATCCGTCTTGCCTTGATGAATACAATTTAAACAAGCTGTCAAAACTGGCATGAAAGAATTGAGGAATGAGAAGCCTATATAACTGTGAGGCCAAGACTCTTACTATTTCGGGCTATTCATGCCCATGCCACTTTTTGGGTGGCTTAATCTTTATCGATCAATCACTCTTTCTACGTGCCAACAATTGACAACTTGGGTTTACTGGGATGCAACCCACAACAGTTGCCTAACTCCCGGGTACCTATATGTTGTTTTTAATGGTCAGAGGCAACATATGTGTAACGAAACGTGCCCTGCATACATCTACAAAAGTTAAACTTAAAAACAAAACAAAAAATCGAAGAATTTATAGTTATACATATGTGTTGTGGCCCTCAGCTGTTATTGTGGCCTTCGGGGGGAAAAATCAGGTAAATTCAGGTAAAATAAGCCTCGCCATACCAGGGAATCGATTGTGAGGCAACTGCCGACAATTTCGTTAAAAAATATATTTTTTTTTTTGTTTAAGTACGATAATACTAAGATATTTAACAAATATTTGGGATAATTTGTTATATAAAATAGAACTTAATTTAACACGCTGGCGCTGATTTTACTTATTTTAGCTTCATATACATGTTCTTTTTATTAAATATTCGTGAATATATTTTGTTATGTTATTTGTTAGCCAATTTGATTGAATATATGTAAGCAATTCATTTAATTTCTATAGTGAGGAATGATATATCTAGTCATTTGCTATTTAGAAGGGTCCTAGTAGTACAGCCGGGTTCTTTCTCGACGCACAATCGAGAATTCCGGGGTCGAATCCCGAGCGAGACAGAAATGGGTGGGCGCATTTCCTTTCACCTAATACATCTGTTCACCTAGCAGTAAGTAGGTACTTAGGAGTTAGTCAGCTTGTTATGGGGGTTGCATCCTAGGGAGGGTCAGTAATTTTACCTTGGGTTGGGGGAGCCTCGATATAAGCCTAATGTGTATGAATATACTCTGGCTTCCTGTCCCCAGACACATTTCATTATTATTAATATTATATTACATTCCCGCTGTCACCTATAATCGATCGCTATATACTGTTATGGTGTCAGAAATGTAATCCTTTTTAATAAAACAAATAAGCTGAATTTCAGTAACATATGCTCAATATATATAGGAAGGATACTATATAATATTTTTTTTTTTTTTTTTTTTTTTTTTGAGATATATACAAGAGTTGTTACATTCTTGTACAGCCACTAGTACGCGTAGCGTTTCGGGCAAGTCCTTAATCCTATGGTCCCTGGAATACGATCCCCTGCCGCGAAGAATCGTTTTTTCATCCAAGTACACATTTTACTGTTGCGTTAAACAGAGGCTACAGTTAAGGAATTGCGCCCAGTAAATCCTCCCCGGCCAGGATACGAACCCATGACATAGCGCTCGCGGAACGCCAGGCGAGTGTCTTACCACTACACCACGGAGACTACAATTTATATAGTATCGTATATAGTATAGTATTTATATAGTATAGTTTTAATTTATATAGTATCCTTATTATGACCAAACCATACATCAGAAAATAGAGAAACGACGACGTTTCGACCCGTCATACACTATTTCCGTAAGATAATCTATCCAGTTACATGTTGAAGCAGAGTGTTACCATTTATTAGCTATCGATTTAGTAACGGTTGACCAACAAGCGCAGAATGGCAGCGTCTGTTTCGCTTTGGCCTTGGACTTGTGTCTAAACAACAAGTGATCAATGGTGTGTATGATATTAGTAATTACGTCTGTTAAGTATAATTAGTAAAAAAATGTGTATGTTAAACATCTTAATCGCAATTTTAAACCGTCTTTGCTGCTCAACTTTAAATGTTTAAACAAACAATTTTTTTGTACATTTTGCGTTTTTACATTTTAATTTACAGTAAACACCGTTTGTTACAGTAAAGACTGAACACTATTCGAACAATATTTATATTTTCTTATTTAATACCTATGCAGAATTACATCAAAAATAATTTATACTCCAAAATTGGCTTACCCCTCAAAAAATTATTACGTTCGTGTACCGCTGGCATTCTTCGGTTTGTTTTGAATCCGTTGAGGAGTCCAAGTGGCGACGCTGGGTCAGCGAGCATCCCTCCAGCGACTACTTCCACCAACCCTCCCCAGACACAACTCTGTACCCAGCGACGATCGTACCCTTGCTTCATTTTCGTATACCCACTTATCCAAATTTGATTATTTGATTCATTATTAAAGAGGTCACACACACATATGTTATGGGCGGCGATGGAGAGAGATATAGTTACGGTAGTGGGCGCAAGAGCTAAACCCGGTTTTGTTTAACTATGGAAGTATACAATACAATACAATACAATTTTATTTAGGTAAGGTACATACATACAATAAATTTTTACAAGGATTGGTAGACTTATAGGTAGAGCTAGTACATACAATGCCTAAAGCCACTATTACGCAAAGCGTTTCGGGCATGATAAACTTAAATGACAAGCTTAATACTAATTGAGCATGAGTAGAATGAAAACAAGAAATGAAAACATAGATGAAAAAGCAGCACAAATACAATTATGTCGACAAACAGCGCTCTTTAAAGAAAAAAAAAACAGACATTGGTTGACAATAGAAGGGTAAGGTAAAGTTAGTAATATAATTTTTTTGTATGTCTGAACAGTATGTGTAGTATAGATTTTCAATTTGTACAAGGTAGTTATGTGATACATAATTAATGAGTTTATTAACTAACCATGGGAAGTGATATGGAATAAAGAATAGTTAAAGCTACAGTGGGTGATAAAACACAACAGATATAAGATTTAAATTTGCAGGCATTACAAGAGCCAGACTTGGGCTCTTGACATTCAGAAATGTACAGTACCTGTCTTGCATATTAAATTAATCTTCCACTGTTTACGTTTAAAGTTTATAGTTTCCAAACATCATGTAAAAATTGTCAATCATTTTCTAATTTTAATATTTTCCATCAACTCTTGAATGTTATATAATCTTACGCAGTTTTTTTAAGAATTACCAATTAAGCTTATAATAATTGTTTATATATTGTCTTCCTAATTTTTATGTCATGCCCGAAATTCTCTGCGCATTAGTGGCTTTACGCATTGCATTTAAGATTTTCATTTAAGCTAGAAAAGACAAATTTAAATTTTTGACGCTGGAGCGAGTCGTTGAAACAGCTCTTCGCCAGTAGCGTTCGCCGCCGCTGCAGGACGTTGATGGTGGAAGCGACGGGCGAGCGTTGAACTGAGGTACTAGCATATATATAATCCCCTACTGATTATATTCCTGTGGAAATAGTTGTTCGTAGATGTGAATTGTTGTGCGTGTGTATGTCTCGAGTACGCACAGGAGAATGCTGCCTAGCTGTAGTGTTAAAAGGTGTGGGGGCAGGGACTGGGGTCGTGGTAGGTGTGGGGTACAGGACTGTGGTGGTGGCAGCAGGTGTGGGTACAGGACTAGGGTGGTGGTAGGTGTGGGGTACAGGACTGTGGTGGTGGTGGCAGCAGGTGTAGGGGATACAGGACTGGGGTGGTGGTAGGTGTGGGTATTGGTTGATACATTTTAGTCAAACCTATTGGCATATCTCAAGTCTGAATCGAGGACACCTCCACCGAGTCTTCACGACCCTCCATGCCTAACACACACACTTTGCGACTGTGATGTTGTATATATATAACGTTGTGCACTTAAGAATTTTTTAAATTCTTCTCGGATGCAAATATTGACACCTGAATCCAGCACATGCCCTGAAAAATACGGATGTATGGCAACCCTAGTCCAACCAGGCTTTGGTTTTTGCCTTTAGACATAGAGGGCTTTCAGTATTCTGCAAGCTAAAAGTTTTGTTAAGCGTCATAGTTCAGGAGGACATCTGATATGTACTTACATATAGGGTCACAGTGTCAACTCTTGCCATTGATTTTCTACCATCCAGCCTCCTGGGATGTAGTCAGAGGGTGGCAAGAAGTTGCCGTTTGTAGCAGGTAGCTGACCTGAGGCGTCGCTGTTGCTCTGCTGATGGTCCGTGTGGTCGTGTGTTGTTGCTCGTCAACAACGGCAGCAATAGTACTGGGGTGGTGGCGAGGTGAGGCCCAGTCTTGGAATATGGGAGTTAAACTTTGGGCACCAGACATGTTATTATTGAAGTGTTATCTAATAGTACTGAAATAAACAGGGGTTTTGCGTAGTTTGTAATTTAGCTCAGTTTACCTGAAGGTTATCTCTAGTGATCTCAACAGGGACAGGAAGCTGTTGGCTTGCCACGGGTCCCACAATTATTCCTGAAAACTTTATCTAGTTATATGTTAAGCTGAAATAAATACATACAGGTACTGTCTTTTTCATTCGCATCTTTGACATAGGCAGCTGGATGGTAAACTGAACTCGGCTCGAAACAAAATTAAAAAGAAATAGGGCTTTGCATAATAATTTTATGTCTAGATATCAAGGCTATTGACATGAAAATTTTAATATTAGACAGCTTAAATTAAACTTTGGTAGGGTGATTTTTAAGAGTCAATTTGTAGTTTGTTAAATTTTCTTACTTCTGTACTTTGCAGATGATTGTCCTGCGAGACTTATAGTTCAGGGTGAAGCCCATGCCTGCGCCAGCAAATCATGGCTTCTCCTGGCCGTTTGTCCTCAAGAGCACGTTCCCATCTCTTGGATGACCTTGACTTCCAACCAGTTCGAGAGATGAGGGCACGTGTATTAAATGATGTTCCTCACATCCCAACTGTTCCGTCCCCCAGAGTGAAATTTAATTTTGTTGATGTGTCGTTTCCTAAACAACCTGAGTGTTCGGGCATACCCGAAGCCGTTCCAGGTAATGTAGAAAGAATGGCGTGCGAGTCGAGAAGAAGAAAAAATTATGAGAGTGATAGAAAAGAAAATAGAGATTTGACAAGAGACAGAGAGAGGTATGACAAAGAAAATAAATGTTCAAATATCATTCAGAGACATGAAGATCGGCATGAGTTTATGACACAGCTTCTGAAGAAGGGTGTCCCAGTATGGGAGGAAGTTTCTGAAGAGGAAAGGAGAATGAAGATTATTGGTAAGAAGGGCTATGAAATTTGTATTAAAGTTTGTAAAATGTACAATTTGCCATAAAAATGTAAATAACAATGTATATTTTATTTTATTTAAATAGCTATTGTTAAGTACAGTTAACTGTGCAATTGTAACTTTGGCACAGTCTAGATGTATAATTCTGCGAATGATGCATGAATTAATGAGTACAGTGGTACAGTATAAGCACTTGTGAGGTTTGATAATTAGAAATGCATTTTTTTTAGCCTTGGCCACCTAAGCAAATTATTAAGCTCTGATAATTATCAGCCAGCAAAATACCCTAACTTCCCACTTTTATACTGTCAAGGTTTTTTTTTATTTTTGTTAAGGGCATTGAACTGTCATTTTTATTCATTATTCTACTAAGGAAAGCATGTAAAGCCAGGGGATCATTTCAGTTTGTTTCCATATTTTACTGGATACTTCCTTGTAGTGACACTAACATAATTATGTCTGTAGAGCACCTATAGGCTTATTTCTCGGCACCACTGCATGCCATGAGTGACCACCTATATTATCTACAAGGTTTGAGACTGACTGACATGTTGGTTAATAGCTGACTAATCCCAAAGTTGCCTGTGATTTATTTCATTAGATGAGCTACCAAAATTGAATAAATACACCATGAACCCTGCCAGCAATCGTCTCTGCCTCACATTTGCACCAGCACACCTTACTTCTTTAGCAGTACCTCATGCAACAATAGCAACTAGGGACAACATCAGCCTGCAATCAGCTCTTGCCACTTTTGGCTTATCCTGGCACCTACTCTTGGTCTATGGTTTCACCTCACAAACTAATTACCACCTTAATTTATTAGTATACACGTATGGTTGATGTTGATCCTGGTTTTTATTACCTTTTCACCCTGGCTAGCTTACAAGAAGTTAATAGATACACTCCAATCTCAAGACACCAGAAAGAGTTGTGGATTAGCTAAAGAGACTAAGAGACACATTGCTATGGAGTTGACCTTGGAATAACAAAACACTCGGTCATTGTTGACCAAACACACACTAGAAAATGAAGAGACGATGACGTTTGTCGTCCTGGACCATTATCAAGTCGATTGTGATAGATAGCATGCACCGACTTGATAATGGTCCAGGACAGACCGAAACGTAGTCGTCTCTTCATCTTCTGGTGGGGTTTGGTCAACAAGGCTTCAGCCACGTTATTGTGACTTATCGTCTGCACCCAGCCATTGCCAGATTTCAGTGGTTTTGACACCAACAGCACTACTAGGATATATCCTTAAAAGGCACGATGCGCATTGACATCTAGCATTTACTACTGACATACAGTACTCTCTTTTGGGTAGAGTCACCCATATTTGGACGGTTTCTGGTCCCACGACATCAGAGACTTAATAACTCTTTCCTGTTTCCTGCATTGTTAGTATAAATAACACCAAAAAATCCTCACATCAACAATAACATACATGTTGATATAGAAGATAATCCACAAATAAATATATGGGAAATGTGACTAATATTTTCACATTACTGTACAGGTACACATGTCTTCTGAAATCCATGGCAAACCATACTTTAATCATAATATAAAAATACTGTTCTTAAAATGAAGAGTTTGTTATTTCTGGCAGATGTGAAATTTCCAATGTTTAAGCTGACAAACTAGTAGACAACTAGGAAAGGTAATATTACACATTGGTACTGTGTCCAGAAATCGGCATGTAAAATGACATATGGTCATATGGTCATGATCAAGTCTCCGTGGTGTAGTGGTAAGACACTCGCCTGGCGTTCCGCGAGCGCTATGTCATGGGTTCGTATCCTGGCCGGGGAGGATTTACTGGGCGCAATTCCTTAACTGTAGCCTCTGTTTAACGCAACAGTAAAATGTGTACTTGGATGAAAAAACGATTCTTCGCGGCAGGGGATTGTATTCCAGGGACCATAGGATTAAGGACTTGCCCGAAACGCTACGCGTACTAGTGGCTGTACAAGAATGTAACAACTCTTGTATATATCTAAAAAAAAAAATGGTCAGTCTCTGGATGTGGCAATTACTGTAACTAAATCACCTGATAGCACACCAGTCTAAAAAGACATACTGTATCATGTATATTGTATTACATATAATAATCAGATCTTAATGCCCACTGGTTTTCTTGATATATGGCACCAAACTTGGGAATGTCGGTTGTTGGTATCTGGACATGGGCAGTGACTCAATCTGACAAAAAAATATGTTCTCGTACATTGGTAATCTATTGTACCATAATGAAGCGTAATGATTTGCTACTGATTATATGAAGGTATTAAATTATTTATCGGTTTCTTTCCTTTAAATTTTCAAAGGTTCATACAATGTTTTGTTTGTTCTAGGTGGAACAAATCCATTTAAGCATCTGCCTCGCCAAACTATCCCCAACCCTCCGAACATCACTCTTCGGAATTCAAATAAGAATCAAAAGTCGAGTAAGTTTTCTTAATTAAAATTTATCAGTATTTTTAATTGTTCATGGTTGTTCATGTTCATGTTTTATTTTTCATACCGGATTTATTTTTTAATTCTGCTGACTAGGTTTTCAAATAATATCTTAACCACATTTACTCTATAAGCTGTGGTGAAAAGATTAATTAGTGGTGCTTACATGTCTTGGATGTCCCTTGTTTTCTTTTGGCCTACATCAGGTTTTTTTTTTTCCTGTAAGTACCCAGTCTCTTAGTTTTTTGTACCTGGTATGTTTTAAGTCCATTATCTGAGTTCTGTGTCTTATTTGTTTTTGAAGTTATGGATAGAGGTGGTGTCCATGGCATAAAGTGCATTCTACTTGCTGATGACCTGTTTGGAGCATGGGTACTGTAATGAACAATTTAGTTTCTTTGACAAGTGTTTCTTCAAATTCCACTGCTGTACTCTTGTCCTACACTACAGTCCTCAATATTTCCTTTAATTAGTTTTATGTCTGCAAATATGGACATGATACAGTGCACCTCCATTCATATGGTAGGTGCGAGTTAATTCATATGAATAAGAGGAGTAATGGGCCCGGGACTCGTACTAGAGGACAATACTTGCTGCATCCATCAAGTCTAATTTCTTGTTCAGACCCTCTGTTTCTTGTCTGTTAAGTACTCCCTTTTTTTTTTCACCATTTCAGTGCTCTTCATTGAATCTGGTTAATGATTCAGATGAGAATCTGAAGTGTCTTAAGTGCCTCCTTTTTTGTACAGGGTATTAATGTTTTTTTTATTCAGTTAACCGTAAGGAGTTTTGTCTAAGGGAGCAAATGAGGATCCTGGCCTCAGAAATAAGATATTGAGCATATTGTAGATGACATTCCTTTCTTAGCTGATCCCTCAGTTGAACCTGTTCCCTCCCATTTGTCCCTAATTATCATGTACAATCATCCAGGTGTTGCTCTTTTGTTTAAAGGCTGTGACGACACCAGGCCACTTGAGCCCCTCACTGTACCGATGTCTGAAATTTCAGCAGTAACCGAGTAGACGGCAGGTGTTGCATGTCACCTGGTAGCAATGTCAAGGGGTTCAGAGTGAAGTGTGATCTGCAGGTAGGGTTGTTTATAGGACCAATGCTGCTGCTTGGTGTCTGATGGCAGCAGTGGCCAGGGGGTTAATTGGTAGTTTGTATATGCAGAGCTTGACTTGGCATTCTCTGATTTTATTAATTTCTCTTATAAAGTTTTGTCAAGATTAAATAAATGTATCTGCTGATATTCATTCATAGTTGGGCTGGGATTTTTCCCAGTGTCTACCTTCCTACTTACATGGTTGTGAAGGAATGTTAGCAAAGATTTCTGTTGCCTAAAGAGATGTGAAGGTTGTTCTGACTATGGGTGGAGGTAGTAAGGCTCTGTGAGAGTAAGCAAGACTTGCCTTGCCTAATTGAGCTACCAAGTAACCTCCGCTGAAAGGAGCATTTAATCTACACTCGACACTTCATTTGTTAATATCTTTAATCATCTTTACCTTGATTATTCACATATTTTTCACAGAACTGATGTTTCCCATCCCATGAAATTGGAGACAGGTAATAATAATGTTTGTACTGTACTTGATATTTAAAAATCAACCATATTTTTCTAATGATTTTCATAAACACTAACCCAGACATGGTCAAAGAAAGTTGTACGTATTTCAACAATATCTAGATGGTTTATATATTTAGAATGTCATAATATATTTAAAAAGAATTCCTGACATTTTCCATGCATTGATATAGGAAATATTTTGTTGTAGGTGGCCAATGACAAGCGACTTAACCCTATGTACTGACAAGGCCTTACGTGGTGTATGTTCTCTTCTGCCTTTTATTAGTTTGTAACACTCCTCATATAAGCAGAAGCCAAACAGCATCTTTTGTATTTAAGACTTCAATTTTTATCTTTCTCTATGTCTAGCATTTTTTTAATACATCTTATTCACAATAACTTAAATATTGACAACTGTTACAGCTATACGTACTGTCATTTATTGTGTTAAAGCATAGTATTTTTATTGTTAAATTACAGTTTCATGCTAATTTGTATGATTATTCTATCAGGCAAAGTACCAACAGCTGTGTGGGAAGATGTTCCGCATGGATCCATGAATTCCTATCCTCTCCGTCCAGACGAAAACTTAGATTCATCTTTAGATAGCGTTAGAAGTAAAGATGAAAGACTTCATGATCATGAAGATTTAGTTAGTGAAGTACCCAAGAGCTCTTCTAGGCAGGGCCTTGGGAAAAAGCACCAGTCACAAGTCCAACAATCAATAAAGCAAGATAAGACACAAGTACAAAATTCAGTTCTCCAAACTCATATACAAGACTCACACTCAAATCAGCCTATTACCTCACCAGTGCCATACAAGACTAAGAATGATTACTTTCCTGGCCACAGCTCAAGCTCGGAACACTCGCCAGAACGATGCTCAAGTCAGCAAAATGATGCATGTATTACAGAAATAAACCAGACACACGTGCAAGAAACTCATTTTGATGAACATGATTCTCAGTCGGTTTCAGAAAAGACTGGTTATACCCCTACTGAAGAGCCTGGTAAGGCTGTAAACATAGTACCAGGTGAAGAAAGGCATTCAAGGCCTGTGATGAAGAGAATACATGGTGGACGAATTGAAGATAATGGCGGTGAGTTACAAATTTAATTTTACAATTTTATATTTATTGGTCTCATTAATAACTTTTATTTCTAAATATTCATTCCTATTGATAATGATCAATATACCAGATCGTTCCTTTGGGAAAAGTGAGAAAGATATTTTTGTAATTCAGCCATTCATATCATGTCCTTCTTTTCATGCCCAGACCATTGTAAAGTTTATATTTCTTTTAACACCTAAAGTGTGAAAAAAAATTTCATATAATGTTAGCTGTATGCAAAAAAAAGGAAAAGGCAAAAAGCACTAGTGTCCGTGTCTTTGTGTGTCACGTACATCGTAAGATTTATGGGTAAAGGGGCTATTTGATCTGTGTACAGTGGTTACTAGATATTACTCTCACATTAAGTAATAGGAGGAGCTGTGATGATCATGTTGGAGGGTTTGTGTGTTTGCCATTTCACTTGGATTTACACAGTGTGGTATAACTCAGTTTATTTACACATAGTTGACAAGAACCATGAGTATTGTATATAGAGCTACAATGTAAGATGTACACCTATTTTGCATGTAAATCTGTTCGTGATAGCTCCAAAGAAGTGCAACCTACTCTTTTTGCTGTTTTTCTCTGATAATGTTCTGAAAAAGATTTAAGCACTGGCGGGAAACACCTAAATGTGATTTGACAATGATCTCTTTGTTTGTAGTACAAAATAACCTCATTGATAGTAAGGAATTAAATATGATAGCATAATTTGTTTTTCATGGATTAGATTAACTCTTAGTACATCCATGTATATGGATTATAACCATATTTACATCATTTGGACACAAACTGGGTGATAGTAAGTAATATCATTATTTGACAAATTTGTTAACCTGGTGATAAGCCCATGATGATAACTGTACTTTAAGGGTTAAAATGTGTGTTCATTTTCAATTTCTAACATCACTGCATGGGAGGGGGGAAGACGGGTTGAAATGGGGGGAGGGAAGAAGGGTTGAAATGGGCGGAAGGGCTGTTTGAGGAGATGGGGACCAAGATAAAGAAAGAGGTGGGGAGGGGTTGGGATGTTGGGGAAGAAAAATTGAGAGGAGAAGAGAGGGAAGATAGGGAAACAGATGAAAGAGGAGGTAGATTGGGAGAGGGGGGGGGGAGGAAGTGGGGAGAGAGACCCAGGTACAGCTGGGTTACCCATGCTAGTATTTTTATATACACTTGTAGTTTATCTTTCATTAACTGGTTAATCATATTGACAGCAGTCTTGTTTTATTTTGTGTTCACTGTCTATTATCAATAATAATTTCAGTTACAGAATATATTAGCTGGTGGCCAGGAGATGAACCTATGAGAGAGAGGGGTATGAAAGGGGAAGAGGAGAAACATGAGAGGGAACCCACTAAAGAATCTAGGAGCAAGAGAGACTTGTCTGCACCATCGTCCTCTACTGCACAACCCCCTAAAAGGCAACACAAATTAATAAACAGTGAAGGTAACTATTACTGGATTTTTGTTTTGTTTTGTTTTCTACCTCCATGAAATTTAGAGGATTTTTTTCACGATTCAGCAGCACGATTCTTATGTCATTAGAGCCTGAAGCACGTGAATTTGAGTGTTACAACCTAGTAAAATAATAGTGAAAGTAAAGTGAATAAGAGCTAAAAGAGGTTGGACAGGTGGGGAAAACTGTGGATACTTTATTTATTTTTTTATATATTATATATTCAAGAATTCTTACATTCTTGTACAGCCACTAGTGTGCGTTGTGTTTCGGGCAAGTCCTTAATCCTATGTTCCCCGGAATGCGACCCCGCCAAATCGTTTAACAACCAGGTAACCATTTTATTGTTAGGTAAACAGAGGCTACAGTTAAGGATTGATGCCCAGTAAATCCTCCCTGGCCAGTATGATTATAAGCCAAGAGGGAGTGTAACTGTCTCTTGTTGATGGTTGTCATTTAAAATGTGCACTTAACTCATTGTAGCAGGGAGTAGTCAGTGTGATGCAGAGATTGATGTCTACAGGTAAAAGAAAAGTTTGTAAATTTAAAAAGCACTTTGCCTATCTGATGAGGGTATAATGTAAATACAGAAAAATAGAGAGTAAGGTCTTATTCCAGTGAGATGCATAGTATTTTTAATTTCTTTCATTATTGCCCTGTTTTCCATTTTCTCACTTTGGTGTAACATTTGACCAGAAAAGACAGAATAGAAAAGGAAGGTTAAATATATTTAAAATAACATCCATCTTTTTATCATACCTTCCACTCTAAAACAGTATCGTCAACAGCCAGCATCACTGCACTCTAGTAAATCATTCACAGTAGTACGCAACCACTCTATAATAATACTGTAAAGTGCTATTTGTCAGTTGTCGGGTAGATATTTATCAAAAATTTATTCTAGCTTGAAATAAACTGTTTCCACCTAGTCTTGTTTCTCGTACTTGGTGTACATTATTCGCAATCAGTTCCTGCTGCTTCATGAATTTACCATGTTTACTCACGTTCTTGGCACTGAATTTAAATATATCGGTATTTGCATCTTTATTTTAGAAGTAGAGTTGGAAAAGCCTGCTAAAACTCCTCCACGTGTAAGAAAATATGAACAAGCTGAAGTTAGGAAATACATGGAGGCAAAACGTTCAGAGCGATTTAAAAGCCGCAAGGAAGAAAAGCAACAACAGGAGCTAGAAAAGATGAAGAGAGAAGAAAGACTCAAGGTAGGCTTACAATTTTTATTATTTAAGATAATTATAACATTGCATAAAGTTTTCATGCTTGCTTGAAAAAATTAGAATTACAAATTAGCTGCCATTTAAGGTTTGAAAGTTAGCCTATGGGGCTCTTCAGATATAATAATACTGTACTTGAGTTAAGGACTTAATAGAAGCGGCAGTCAGTTGATTTAACACCTACCCTGTGACTACATTTTCAGATGGTTACTATAAAATGAAAAGCATTACAATTAATGTTTTTGAGGTATTTTACATCTGACTGTCCCATAAGATCTGATGTCCTCTGGACAATGAGTGTGAATGACTCTGTTGACATTCTTGGCATTAGGTCCTCAAAGAAATTTTCAATCAGACTCTGTAGGGTTACAAAAGATGCTATCGGCTCACTAGTATTATGCGCAATCTAGTCTGTATTGATTGTCAAAGATTGACAGTCATTACAGACTTGTTAACTTTCATGTAAACTCAAAGCCATATATAAGTTCATCCTAAGTGTAAGTGTAAATAATATAGATATGTAAGTATCCACTAGGGAAAATGAAACAAAAATTCTGAATGTTTTTGCTTCAACACAAAAACATTCAGATTTTTTGTTTTTCATTTTCCTAGTCCAGGGGTACCTCAGTGTACGAATTTAATCCATTCCTGGAGACGGTTCGTAACATGAAAATTCGTAAACCGAAGCGAATTTCCCCATAAGAAATAATGGGAAATGAATTAATCCGTTCCAGACTCCCCAAAAAATTAACTTAAAAGTAAATTTTATACCTAATTCACCCAAATCTTCTACCACTAGGACCTGCTTCTGGCTCACTACTTGATTTCCTCACTAGAAATCGTTCCATTGAATATTGTTTTTCCCTTCTTTGTAACACTTGTCTGTAGTGAGGCATCACATTGTCATTAATAAGATCAATGCAACGGCCTGCTACAGCTTTATCTGGGCGATTCTTTTCAGCAAAACTTTGCAGTTCTTCCCATACTGCACACATTTTCTTAATTAATGATAAAGGGACATCATCTACTGCCTCCTCCTCCTCCCCTGAAGATTTGTTGTACTGCCTAGCTAGTTCAACAACACGTGTACTATTTTCATGTTTACGAATGAACTCTTGTTTTTCCTCTATGGTCATTCTCTCATGTGTTTTCTTGCCTTGAACCTTACCACTGGCTTCCTTGGGACCCATGGCGAGATATATAATAACAAATTTTATGTTCAAATAACCAAAAATCCGAAAAAACTAAATCCTTGCAGAGAATTCAGGTGGGATAGTCACTAGGAGGGAGACACTGGGAAACTGAGGAGCGATCGCCGTGCCACCATGCGCTAGGTCGGCCATATGCATATCAATAAACTTGTATCCCGAGGTAAAGTTCGTAACCTGATTCAAATTTTCCGAAGAAATCGGGCTTCTCTGAAAAGTTCGTAAAGAGGGGCATTTGTAAACCGAGGTACCACTGTAGATACTTACACACAACTGAATCACATGTGTTTTGTGACTATTCTAGTACCATAGATATAGATATACTGTATAGTTTAGTTGATGTTATAACAGATGCCGGCTGTGTAAATGTCATAATTCCTTTTTGAGAAACATAAACTTGTATGTAGTGTTCATACATGAACACTACATACAAGTTTATGTATAGACATATGTACTTTTGCCATTTCCACACATCATCTTGTTATTATTACTTCATTATTTTAGGAGCTTGCAGTCAAGACAAAGCAGTTGGCACCATGCAGGAAAATTGAAAATCTCGCAACAACAGCTGCTGGAGACAACAATAGTGGCCAGGTATTGTTTTCTAATTACAGTATAGACTTTGAAAGCAACATTGATTAGTTTGTTTTGCTGTTTCATTCAATTCTGTGAGAAAAGTTAGGAATGTGTTAAAATATAAATAAATATTGAATATTGTTTGACCACTTGTATGGCATGTGAAATGAATTGCACAATTATGACTAAAATGTAGTCAGAGCAGCCAAAATTTAAACAAATAATAAGCAATTGTTGTAAAACAGTGCAAGGTCTCCCAAGTCTGGCAAATCACCAGTGTCCAGCCATTTGTGCCTAAATAAAACCTTTTATCGTTGGATTAATTGAAACCACATCAATTTCATGAACTTGTCAAATATACTCCAGTAGCATGTAGAAACATGGAAAAATATCCTCAGATATTTGAATAAGAATTAGACACCTCATTTTCTCATGACTGTAATCATGATTCTTAGAGACTAATATTTTAATAATTTTTTCATAAAAAGTTGTAGTTATAATTTTTGTATTGTCTAGCTTTACTTTTAAAGAATGCAACAAAATAATTATCACAGCCGGAGGAAAAATGACGGGCTGGATAACATTTGATGACAAACCAGTGCTGATGATTGTACTTTAAGGAACTATTGCTACATATTAAATGCTCTGTTCTAAAGTTGGAGAAGTTGAAGATCTGGAGAACGTGCAGAGAACTTTTACTGCCTGAATATATTAAATATAATGCATCAATTGTTAGGGCAGTTTGAAATCCATCAAATTGGGCTCTTTGGAATGCAGGTGAGCGTTGCATTATAATCTCCATCTTAAAAATATTTGAGGGACTGGTTCCAAGTCTGCTCTGATATACTTCCATGGAGATACCAAGAGGCATGGCAGAATGTATAAAATAAGTAGTCTTAATACTCAAAATGCAGTTACCAAAATTGTTACCCGTGTGAATTTTGTTTTCTATTTAATGAATCATTTATATGAAAGAAATAAAGAAAAACAAATCTTCTGGTTTTGCTAGCTGTACTGGAATCTGGCCAGCTGGATTTCAGATCCAAAAAGTGTCACTTGACACCACATGAAAGTTGATGCCAGTGGTGTAGGCGGAGGAAAGAAGGGAGGGGACTCGTATGTTCATCTTTGATATGTGGCCATAGGGGAAGCTGTCCCCAAAAAGTCATAAAAAAAGGGAAATGACCATCAAAGATTACCGATACACCATGCTATCATGTCCAGTAATATCAAATTTTAACTATTAAAAGCATCCAAGGGAATAATCCACTGATCACTGGGGTGGCCAATACTGGTGACGAACCAGCTAGTACATTGTGGACATGTGATTGGCCAGATAATTGGCATTTGCTGGTGCTTGGGTGGCCAGGCACTTGCCCTTGGCACAGGCACAGCATTCGGGCAGTAGTATATTACACTCGACAGACTAGATTGAGCTGCAATTTTATGGATAAACATGTTTTGCTATTTACTCTAGGTTTGTCCATAATTTTTGTTTTTGAACACAAAAATCTTGTACAAGTGGTCAAATCCAGGTGGCTTTACCCTAATGTAGGTTCTGTTTTAGTAATGAAGTGTGATTTCATTTAATCCTATATTAGTAGATTGGCAATAAGGCATTGATGCCTTTTTAGGCCTATTGTACATCCTATTAGACTAACCTAATTGTTAGGTTTTTACAACATGAAAACTGTAATTTAGGTTATGGGGCTTTTATTGTACTGTAATTCTTTATCCACGTTAAATGTTCTTGTATTTTTTTCAGATTCAGTCCAATATAAAAGATCCTGTCAATTGGGGTTGCTCTGATAGCTCTGAACATGAGATTAGTCCAGAGATACAGTTTACTTCAATGGGTGTGCAGTTTGATTACCAGGCAGCCACTGTTATTTCTCAAAAAACTGAAGATGCTCGCCAAGTAAGTGAAGTAAACCCAGAATTGTGTAAAGAGGACTCTAGAAGTAAATCTACTCGCAAGTCACCTGAGAAGGGCAGTGAAGTGAGAGGAGATTCTCCAAGGAAAAGAAAAGGAAAAGACACTAAAAAAAAACATAAAAGAAAGCCTATCAGCGACAGTGACAGTATCAGTGACATAGTGAGTCGTACTGTAGAAGAGTGTGAGAAACAAGTTAAATCTTCCAGGGTATCTTTAGAAAGTCTTTCTTCACTATCTGCATCTGTCAGCTCCTCCGATTGCGAGTCAAAAGATAGCAAATCGTCGGTCATATCTAGTATTGACTTGACACCTAAGCAGCGAGTCGTTTCACTGGACCGGATGGCTCAAAGACTTACTAGCAGAATTACAGAAGAGGAGAATAATCTTAGGCATTGCCTATTAAATGAAAGAGGAAAACCAGTTATTAATGCAGAGTCATCAGTAATGTCAAAAATTCCTGAGAGAAGGGGTGAGCCTTCAAGACCTGCAGCAGGACCTGGTACGATAAAAGATCAGATCAGCAGAGCGAGTGCTTTAAAAGTACCTTTGTCATATTCTGAAATTGAAGCTCTGTCTGTAGAAGAACTTATTGCCAAAATGACTGCAATGCTCCCAAATACATCAGGAACTCAAGGAGAATCGTATGCAAATGCTACGAACCAAGGTAATCCTCAAAACCAGAAGAACCAAGAGGGATTAATAAATAAAATTAATATTCCTGAAGAAAATAAGAAAGGAAGATTACCCCAAAATCAAAATCAGGTTTCAAGAGAGAAACCCCAGCTGATATTAAAAGAAATTCCCAAACTAGTTCCTCCAGATACTCCAGTTTTGCAGTTGTCCGGTGGTGGCACTATTATAATTGGAACTGATATACCAATTAGTTATCCAAAAGCAGAGAACTTATCACCTCTTCCTGGATATAATACTCAACAAATAAATAGTTATGTTAAAGGTAAAATTAGAAAAGAGAATCGAGGATATACAAATAAAATGCCAGTGCAGAAGAAACAGCATGTTTATGCTCCCTCCCCTTTTCACTTTCAGAAACATAACACACAAAGCTATTCCAATATTCCAGGGGTCACAGATTCGATTGCTTTTGTGCATAAAAAGAAAATGGAAAAAGCAGCCTTAGTTATCCAAGCTGCTTATAAGGGACATCGTGTTAGACGGATCACAAATTCACTACTTAAAAAACAGGATCATATATCACTGAACAAAAGGGACAAAGTTCAGCATGCAAAACAAGTGCAAGGCAATACAGTGAGTAATACTGGATTTACACATGTAAATTTTCTTAAGCATGATTATATTAGTAGACCACTTAATGATGTTGACTTGGATGATACTTCATCAAATGAAGAAATAAATGCAAATGTTGATTGGCAGAAAATTAGAGCAGAGCTTGAAAGCAGAACCTTCAAGCCAAAAGGGGGTTGTCAGTATACCTTCCAAAGGCCAGATTTGCCCGAGTGGGTCAAGCCATATTTTGTCCTGAGTGAGACTGGGGACATTGAAGGCTTCATTGGGAGTAGGGGGAAGGAGCTTGGAATTCAACATTGGATTACTGCAAATGAGAAGAACAGAGATGCTCCACATGGTGTCCATATAGAGAAACAGAGTGCAGTGAGCAGCAACAGTGATAAAAAGAACCTGTCTATGAGAAAATCTCACCGTGATGTTACTCTAACTGAGGGGCTATTATCTGAGCTGGATGATTCTCATGTTAGTGTTCATGAAAAGGAGACCCAGACAGGCTACATCAATGAGAGAACTCGGTTGAAGAGCATAAATGAAGCAGAAGGCGCAAATACTCCTAAACAATGTTTTATAAGTGAAGGTGAACAGGAGTTTGTTGATTTGCGAAAAACCTTCGCTGGAAATAAATTATTGGTAATGCAAACACCAGATAATATGGGCACTAAAGTAAACATAGGAATGAGGGATAGCAATTTATCCTTAAGGAAAAATCACAAAACTGAGACAGAGTATGCATCACCTAGTTGGTCATCACAGGAAGATGGTACAGGATCCGAGACATTAGAAGAAGGACCATTGCAGGAAATGTTGGGGGAGAGTTCCAGTGAAATTTCAGGAAATCACACTGTTGAAGTTAATAGTTCAAATTTAGCATCCTCTGAAGATGGGCTTAAAATTGAATCATCAGGCAAGTTACAATCCTCAAATATGAGTGATTCTGTAGATATTGAAGAAGTTTCAGCACCACATCAGTTACTTGGGCCAGGCCTGCACTTTGCACCAGCAAGTCTTAGACTTAGGGTAAATGCAGAACTTATGTACCAAGACACACTAGGAGAAGCTCTGAATCAGTTAAATAATGTAGAACAATTGAATATTATAGCTAATAGTCGACAAGAGGCTCTGGCTTTGTCTCGGTGTTTAACTCTCCAACAGGAAGAGTCAAAATCTCAACAGAAAAATCAAGAAGATAAGAAAAAAGAAGAGATTAAAAGAAAGGAAAAAACCAGAAAAGAAGAGAAAAGATGGAAAGAAGAACAAGAAGAAATAATGAAAGAAGAATTTAGGAAACAGAAGGAAGCATTACAGAATGTGGAGAGAATGGAAAGGGAAGCCAGAGATCGTTTTGCTCAGTTAGAGAAAGACGTGCGTGCAAGGGCAGAGCAAGTCTTTTCTAATGCTGCTCAAAGAGCTCCACTGGCAAGTAACAGTCAACCAGATGTTATTGCAGCAGCCGCAGTTGCTGCCGTTGGTGCAACAATATCGCAGTGGGAATTGCTTAAACCAGTGCAAAGATCTGGTAATGCTGGTTTAGAATTTCAAAATTCAGTGATTCTAAATAATGGGTCCTCTGCACCTTCATTTTCAGGTTTCCAAGAATATTCTACATCCTTCACAGGGACATCGAACAACCAGTCTCGATCAAAAGGCTCTCAAGACCAGAAGTCTGCGTTTAGTGAGGCAGGTTCGTTAAATAATAAGAAAAAATTATCCTCTTTAGTTCATCCAGCTGCTAAGATCTCTGTTGAAGATCATTGTAAATCAGAAGCAGAGTCTAGTAATGACTCTTTGTCTGAATGTATTGTATCAGAAAATTTGAGTAATTCCTCAACAAAGCATAAAAGTACAATAAGTTCTCATACATCAGTCAAGGAAGCTCTTTCTTGTACTAAGTCTTTTTCCAATAAATCTGAATCGGATGTCACGAGTGATTACACTGAGGCAGGTGATAGGGTGTCTGTGACATCTGTGCCAGAGGAAGTCAGCAGCCGATCATCAAGAAGTAGAACGGTGTCACATGGTAAAAGTACTAACATGTTAAGATCTGGCATGGGTAAGAATATCCCAGAATCTGTTTCAGTGAAAGAAGATATCTTAGCATCAAAAAGTGCCTCTTTAGTAGTGAGTGATGGTGCTGTAGTTTCAGCTTATGCTAATGCCTCAGCTGACACTATTAACAGTGAAGCAATATCGGCATCAGAAGTAGGAGAGATTGTCCAAACACACAACTCATCTGTCCCATCAATTAGTTTAAAGCAAGTTTCTTCAGCTCAGGGTAGCTCTGTTCTGGAAGACGTAAGTGAATCTCAACCAAAAGAAATTTTAAGTTCTGAAAAAAGTAGCACGCGTGCTTCATCTACAAGTGCAAAAACATCATCCAAGCCACATAAATTGTTCAAAGGCAATGATGATGATGGAGTGTCTGATGCATACTCGGAATCATTTGAAATGGAATCTGCAAGTGATGGCTCGAGCACATCAGTGGCTTCCCAGTTACGAGGACGGAATCAGCGAGACAAGGGAGACCTCTTGCTTGTGCCATCTAGTAATATCTTAAATCAGCTAGGTTACAGAGCTGGTCCTCAGGCTGGAAGTGGAGCGGTAGGATCAATTACAGATGGTGGGGGTGAAAGTGCTCTGGGCAATACACTGAATCTGGTGGAGTCTTTACAGAAAGAGGAAGAGGTTCGCCATAAGCATCAGAAGGCTCTTCTAAAGTTGCAGGTAAGATGAATTACTTTGGGGGTTTAAATGTACTGTATTGTACAGGTGGATAGCAAGCATTTGAGGGTAAAATGATTAAATTCAAAATTGGTTTTAGTTTTCAGACTTGCGCATCATTCATACATGGTACATTATAGTGTTGGTTGGCAAATCAGTAACTGTAATAATGTCAAACAAAATTTAGTTTTGCCACCTCAGGTTTCTGCATATTATAATTTTTCAGCTAGTTGTAAGAGTTTCTCTTTGTATTTATGTGAAAGAAAATAATTGTTATGTGTTGATAACTTTATTATTAGTACTGACTTAATTATTTTTCTTATTTTTTGGATGTTACTTTAACCCCTTGTGGTCTGACAATTGCATGTTTATTATTTTTTAAGCCTGCCAGAGTTTTGCAAATTAAAAAAAAAAAAGTGTTTATAGAATTGTAAGAACATACAGTTCTGAATAGGGAGAAAAGAGGTATGGTAATTAAAAAAAAAATCTATAATTCCCCAAAAAATATCAATATTTTCTGGCTAATGTTTGTACATTTCAAATTCTTACATAAACAGGGTTGTAGTTCTTGATAACAGCATGTTTTCATTCAATTTCCCTTAAGTCATTAAAAAAAAGATAAAAATTTTAAGAATGCAATACAAGATTTACAAAATTGCATTATAGTACTAATGTAGTATTTGAGTTGTCTGTTAGCAATCTGGCTATGTAAACCATTTTCAGCTGGCTGGTTTCTCTTTGAGGATCTTTAAATGATTGGCTGCTTAAGAATAGTTCTCAGGAATAGTTGCATATTCAGTAACCATTTTGGGAAGAAAGTGCCCAAATGACTGATACATGTTGTAATTAAAATTCAGAACAGCTATAATACTCCATGACTATTTTTTTTTTTTTTTTTTTTTTTTTTTAACTGGCTATTGAAAGTTGAATACTGTCAGGATGTGAGGGAGATAAAATGTGTCAAAATGTTGTGAGCTTGTACCGTACAATGCAGTGATGAGCGGTAGGAGTGACAATATATTGGTACAATTTATGGAATATATGGTAAAAGTTGGAGATCGATAATTTTATGTTTAGGGATTGTACAACTGACCAGTATACTGTACTTGCCAGCTGAATATATGGAGCCAGCATACAGTGTACAGTCAGTGACAATGGCAAGTAACATGTAAATGCAAATATGGACCAGTATAAGCAAATAAATTCTAAAAAGCGTGAAGTATTCAAAGTTAAAGCTCTTGATATAGTCTAAATCTTTTATTTCTTGAGAGGCATTTAATTGTGATTTTTTCTTACACAGGAACAATCACTGATTGAAGAGGCAAAATGGAAGCTAGCAGCATTACAGTCAGAGGGTGGTATAAGCATGCGCAAACGACAGCGGGCAGTTCTGCTGCAATTGCGTGAACAGAGGACACATTTGAGACGCCTGATTGAGACACAAAACATTGCAGCACAACAAAGACGACTAATGTTGCTCCAGCACCATCATTTGCTTGCAACCACAACTAGTTTGTCATCAGCTGGGGGCAGAGGTCTTTTAGCTATTTCTAGAGGTCACTCGCCTGGTCCAGGCTCTCCACGATTGACCCCAAGGTTGTTGGAAGTAGGTGCGTCTTCATCAAGTGATGCCCAAGAGGATATATCATTTAATCTCTTACTAAAGGGAAGAGAGAATGGTTCAAGCAGTCCATCAGAGGGAGGAGGCTGGGAGAAGCGAAGGTCTCATTCTGAAGAGAGAAAAAGAATTGCCTCTATCAGAATGCAAGAAAAGAGACGTGCAGCTGAAGTAGAAGTCTTGCAGCAGCAATTGCTGCATGAAGAGAGGGAGATTTTGAGACTAAAAAATAAGTCTCCCTATGAAAGCCATGAAAAGGATTCTAATAAATCAAAGAGAAAGGGAGATTTCATTACCATCAGATCACGAGACAAACGAGATAAAAGTCCTACAGCAATTTCACCTTTATCGGTCCTTGTACAAAGTAGAAGAGCATCGACAGAAACGTCTGACCCAGAAGAAAGCATTGATGCCTCAACTAAAGATAGTCAAAGTTCAATACCCGAAGGTGGGAACGAATCCATATCTCACAGTGATATAACATCATCTATATCGGAGCATGAACACTCAACTTGTAGAAGCCACCAAATTATTACCTCAGTACCTATAGAGATTACCGATTCAAAAAAATCATCAATTGAAGAAATAGCAAGTGAAAGACAATTAAACACTGTTCAGAGTTCTATAGCAGGATCTTCGTCAAGTAATGGCAAAGGAAAAGGTTCAGTGAAATTACTAAAGGCCCATGCAGACAAAGACTCTAAAATTACTGACAACAGTATCTCTATAAAAACTGTTCCTTCAGATGAAACTATTTCAACATTAGATAAAGAAAGTAGCATTAAAACAATAACAGGTGAGCAAGCCTCAAAATCTTGTTCTCATCAATTGGATTCAAGTGAGAAATTTTCACACACTCCAGTTTTGAAATCTTGTTCTGCCAGGTCAGAGATACTAACACGGGTTAGATCTGATTCAATTGTTTCAGAGGAACTCGTTGGAGATTTAAAATCTCGAACTTCTGGCTCCTCGAGATCTGGCAGTGAGCATGCATCTGGGACTGCAGCAAGATCTAGCAGTGCAAAATCATGCGAGACAAGATCATCTACTCAAAAGAGTTCTTCAAATAGTGCTTTACCGCTCCCTCTTAGGGTTCCCTTGTCACCACGGTCTCCCCATAGACAGCATAGAAGATATTCTAGTGAATCTGATGACTCCTTTACTCTATCACAAACAGAAACTGCTTCAGATATTTCTGATGGGGAGGGTAAGCTAATAGCTCTTAGAGAGCAGCTAGCAGCAAGACGAGCTGAGGCAGACAAACTTAAAAAAGAAAAACGAAGATTACGACGGGAACGTCTGGCATCCCAAGAACATGCTCTCAGACAGCAAATCTCTACCTATGATGCTTATATTCAGCAAGCTAGAATGGAGCTTGAGAAGGAGTCAAAGGAATTTCAGCAGGCATCTTCAGTAAGACCTGTCATTAAAAAGCCACAAGTTGCCGAAACTAAAAAATCAAAACTTTCGGAATCGATTCTGTCAAATCTAGATAAATTGGATGTTTCTGACGTCTCCCTGGTCTCTGAGGAGTTTAAGTCTGATCATTCATGTTCCTCTAAATCTGGAGAGATTAAATCTAATGAGTCTCTTTTACCCAAATCACATGAGATTGAATTAGTGCTGGAATCGCAACTGCATCAACCTGTAAGTATATTAAATAATGAGTCGAAGAGTGTTTCTTCAGTTAAAATCAATGAATTAAAGTGTGAAGAAGAACTCCCATCTGTAGCAGAGTCCTCTAAAGAAAGTAGCAGTGCACCACAAGATGAGGAGGCACCTTCAAAGACACCTGAGGAATCCTCTATCTCAGAAGAGTATAGCTTTGAAGATGAGACCATTTCGGAGCATTCACTTGAAGTCTCCTCAAAAAAGACATTTTCTCGGGATTCTAGTCTTGATACAGATCACACCGCATCACAAGCTTCAAGTACTGAGACAATTGTTCATAGCCCAAAGAAAGTTGATTTGTCGCAGAAAGATGGGGATGAAACTTCCTCGGCAGAAATAGGACCGTCACTGCCATTGAGTGATATAACTGAAGATAAGGAAGGTGTAGCAAATGATGTTAAATTAAATGAAGTCAAGGAGACCAGGGACAATAACTTGGCAGTGACTCATACAGAGGGTGAAAAAAAGTTAGACATCTTTATTCCTACACCAGATACAAATTCTCGAGAAGTAGATGAGTCTACAGAACAAAGCAAAGATACAAGTGTAGAAGAAAGCATTGGGGAAGAAATTGCAGAGGATATAATTGAAGAAGTTACAAGTGAAAAAAATAGTGAAAAGTTGGTAGGAATAAGCAGCTCCTCCCATCATTCCTCAGATCAGAGTAAACACAATAAAGATGATTCCAGTCAGTCCTTGTCCATTTCAGGAAATAAGGAAACTTCTGCAGGATCTGAGGATTCTCCTACTGCTAATGATAAGATGCCATATTTTCTGCAGGAGCCCAACTTTACTGAGCACTTAGAAAAGGAAGAAAACAACAGGCTTCAGCTGTTAGATAAACAGCGACTTGTAGATGATATCTCCAATAACATATTTTCATCCATGATGAAGGACACTGCTCTACTTTTTACAGAGATAATAAAAGGCAGGAACAGCAGTGACCAACAATCCCAGTCTGTTGATGATTTCATTCCTTTGTCAACTCCCCAGTCAGTTTTAAATCAAATTTATGTAGGTGATGAACAAGTCGATGCTAGTGAAACTAAAAAATTGCACCAAGAAGTCGAGGAGTCACGCACATCACACAAAGGTCCAGAATCATTGAAAGAGGATGATTACCAAGAGATTTCAGAAGAGCTTCATGATACTTCTAAATCCAGCAGGAGCGAGAGCAGCAACACACACAGCTCTACCGTGCAGTGTGTGAATGAGCCAATTGCTGATGATGGATTATCTTCATGTTTGCCTTCCCCTGGCTCTCCTCAACCAATGGAACTCAAGTTGACCCCTCAGTTGACCTTTGATTCTAGTCCAAACACACACTCGCCTACTTCTCCTACTCCAAGTAAGTTACAATTATCAGCAGTAGAGATTTTGATTATGATTGTTATTTGAATTATTATTTATATTTTCAAGCATTATAATTTATATTATTTATATTGCTTTGTATGTCAAATATTTGTCTTATGTTGCACCTATTAACCAAAACTTCTCATTTATGCCTAATTGGCATGGACAGTTTTTCTTGAGAGCAGTAGTACATTTATATTGTTATAGCTTTAGGGACATGTATTAAATATCTTGTACTCACTCTTTCAGCATCACCTCTGAGAGAGTCAAAGAACACTGAGATGGAGCCCGTCTCAGAGACAGCTTCTCCACCTGATGCTGCTAGAACGGATGATGCCAGTATCTCAACTGCTGCTGGAAAGAATGATGACTTTGTCCTGGTTACTGCTGGAATTGATGATGCCACTATCCCAGCTGCTGCTGGAATGGATGATGCCACCACCATTCTGGCTGCTACTGGAATGGATGATGCCACCATCCCAGATGCTGTCACTTCTTCTGGTGCTGCTGCTGTTCCTTCGCAAGTAACAAAGGAAGATAGTGAGGACCAGCCTGTGTCCCCAAGTCACGATGTCGCTAAGGCTGATGCCTATAGCCTTGACATGGTGAGCAAGTATTTTTATTACAATGTTGTTGTTTATAAACAATATTGTTTATTTGGTGGCTGAACCTGTAGCTCTCATGGTTTATACATGATTTTATTGCTTGTTTTGTATTGCATTCCAATAATGTACTTGGCACATGCATATGCACCAATGCATAAATGAACTTTGTTGTGTATATCCAATCATGCTTTTTAGAATTTCTGTAATATTTTCAACACTTTGCAGACATTTGGTGTCATATGACTATCAAATTATTAAATATTTGTGAGCTGGTTAATGTCATGTGTTGTCAGAGCTTTTCCAGCTTCAATTTAAGTACAAAATTTAGGTCATATTATAGGCTGAACTCCATTGCATATGTATCATCATTGCCATACTATTAGAAACTATTTCCTGTCATCTTCTACCATTATTTTCCTGGTTGATACCTGGTTGATGGGGTTCTGGGAGTTCTTCTACTCCCCAAGCCCGGCCCGAGGCCAGGCTCAACTTGTGAGAGTTTGGTCCACCAGGCTGTTGCTTGGAGCGGCCCGCAGGGCCACGTACCCACCACAGCCCGGCTGATCCGGAACTTCTCTTAGAAAACCGTCCAGTTTTCTCTTGAAGATGTCCACGGTTGTTCCGGCAATATTTCTTATGCTCGCTGGGTATTTCTTATGCTCGCTGCTAGAATGCTCGCTGCTAGCCAGTGTTTAAAGCTGAATGAGTAGTACCAGACTTTTCACTTTCCCTTGTAAGGGTTTCGGGTCTTAATCTGTGTACTTGTCTTCATTGAAGCTTCTTGACTGATAACATTCGGCCCCATATTTTCACAATGGGCAGTCCTTGTTCAATCGGCCCGGTTAAGACACTGGTTTCAAATGCAAAGGGCTTTGGGTGTTGCCTTATGCAATTAATCTTTGAAACCATAAATTATTTACATTTCCAGTTGGGTGAAACTTTGGAAAATATTCTTTATTCAATATCTAGTGTTAATTTATCAAGCAGTGACCAATCTTCAGGCCCATTCAATGATTACGAAGGGCTGTGGTTCTAGCTGCCTAGTTCTTTATCGGAGAATGGGGACCAGACTAATTTTGATTATCACTTGGAAGCCTTAGTGGAGGCAACTTGTATATTCAGATGAATTAGATACTTCACTGATACTTTCCCTCTACAGTACCATGTTGGCATTCTGTCGTGTCTAGTAATGTGAAATGATTGTGTGATCAATTCTCAAAAGATTCGAAGACTAGGACTGGTATCAGAATGTCTTGAGTTAGGATTTCAGTTTAACCATGTAGATAAATAAGGTTTCTTTGCCATCTTTGAGAGATGAGTTTGCCTGAGGTTTTGATCTCTCCTCATGGTACTTATTTTGAGGCTGTTGGAGAATTAGCCAAGATTTGTTAGCCTAACCCATGGATAGATAAGTATTGTGGCACTGGACTGTGGGGAAGTTGATCCTTAAAACCAGTGCACGGTAACATTCCAGTGTTCATTTAGGAATGTGGTAGTAAATGTGGAATTGGTACCTAAAAAAAAAAAAATCTACATTCATTTGATAGTATGACACTGTATTGGAATTTGATCCATATGTCTTTGGAAATGATGGAATAGCTTGCTTTGAAACTTTTTGCTCAATATATATATTTTTATTTATTTATTTATTTTTTAATATTTACATTTGTATTTTTGTCAGATCTGTTACAATATATGTATTTTTAAAATCTGCAATTAAGTCTGCAAAGGGTTACATTAACTCAAATCTTTGATGTACTGTACTCTTGTAGTATGCATTTATGACGTCTCTGTAAGAGGTTGGTACTATTGTATTAGAAATTATAGTTAAATGTGGTCATCGCAGACTTCATGTTGTGGTAATCAAGTTGAATGTAGTTTTGTGCTTGAAGTACTGTATACAGTAACGTAGTATTCATACATGAAATGCCATGCCCTTAAGTGTGAATGCTCTGCTTTTGTAAGCTAATTTGGAGAATGTTATAATGTTATGCTTCTTTCATTAATGCTCCAAAGGACATGGAGGGAGACAATTTTGCTATTGATCCGGTGAGATTTTTTTTTTTTTCTAGCATTTCATGGTTATTGAGAAATATTTTTGCATTTTTAGTATATATACTGTAGTTCTGTACATACACTAGTTTGATTTTTGCTATTTCTTCTAAAATCCTAAATATCAAATTGTTTTTCTTAGTTTGACATCTAATATAAAATGTATTTATGTTAACAGAAGAATAACTTAGTAAAAAATAAATATAAAATTTCATAGATTTGAAAGACGTTTCTTAAGATCATATTATAAACTTCAAGAGGAGGAAGTGAGGTTCAGAGGAGTCTGCCATAGAAAAGTTTACTAGAAGTAGGTTTTATGTATCAGACTTTATTTAATCAAGCTGCTGCTTGTGATAAGAATTAATATAATTACTTTTTCACAGATGGCTCTAACAAACAAGTTGCTGAACCTTTCCTCGGCTGACCTGGATGCTAAACTGGACCAGCTGGGAGCCGACGACACAGAGTTCACTGTAGAGGGCATTGAAGGCGATTGGTTTGACGACGACTTCTGGACATCTACAGACAACAGGAAGAAGCAGCAGCAGTTGAAGGCTGAGGAAGAGAGAATTGCTGCAGAGGTTAATGTTTTTTTTTTTTACATTATGTAATTGATAATTTGGTTGAGAGGCAGTAGGAGAGTTCACATTAGCTATGCCCCTGGAAGCACTATCCTAAAGGAAGTAAAAAGGGTACCTGAATCTCCTGTTAATTGATCTTTTTCTTTATGCTAGTGCTGTATCACTTGGTGGCTTGTTACTTTTTCTTATTCTCCATCCACATTGTTAAAGATTTGAAGGTGACTGAAATATCTGGGGAAGATTCCTTATGTGACAATCCCTTTAAGTACAGTGGTACCTTCGTTTTCAAATTTAGTATGTTCCCAGAGATGAGTCGTAAACCGAAAATTCGCAGACCGAAATGAATTTTCCCATAAGAAATAATGTACAGTGGTACCTTCATTTACGATCATAATACATTCCCAGAGACGTGTCGTCAACCAAAACGAAGTTTTCCCATAAGAAATAATATAAATTGAATTAATCTCTTCCACACCTCCAAAATATTCACTTAAAAATACATTTTATACCGAATAACTCATTTTGTACTAGCTACAATACAGTATGTATATTTTACCTTGAATGAGGACTCTTGTTGGCATATGGAAGGTGGTGAGGAGGAGAAGAGGTATTAGTGTTTGGAAGGAAAGTCCCCTTCCATTATAACATCAGGCAGTGATGACTTTTTTGGGGTACTCTCTCTCCTACGTTTCGTCTGCATACCACTAGGACCTGCTTGTGGCTCGCTGCTTTTTTTTTTTCTCACTAAAAACCTGTCTAATAACACTTATTTTTCCCTACGTTTTAACACTTGTCTGTAGTGAGACATCACATTGTCATTAAAAATGTCAATGCAATGGCCTGCTACAGCTTTATCTGGGTGAGTCTTTTCAGCAAAACTTTGCAGTTCTTCCCATACTTCACACATTTCTTTATTAATGAGGAAGGGACATCTTCTACTGCCTTTACTCACAATATTTTCTTAGGTTGAACCTTACCACTGACTTTCTTGGGACCCATGACATGATATATAATAATTACTTTTATGTTCAAAAACAAAAAAAGCTGAAAAACAATGAAATTCTTTACAAAGAATTAAAGCGCGATCGTCACTAGGTGGGAGACACTGGTAACCTGAAGCGCGCCTCGACTGTGCCTGGAACCATGCGCTTGGTCAACCCATATATGTATCAACAACCTTGTTGCCAAGCGAAGTAAAGGTCGCCAACCGAGTCAAATTTTACGAAGAAATTGAGATCGTAACCCAAAAAAGTTGTAAAGAGGGACGGTCGTCAACCGAGGTTCCACTATATGGATAGATAGATAAATAGATAAAACCTTGAAATGTAATTTTTTAAAGGATTTACACTATTGCCAGATAGTTTTTTCTAAGTACAGCTTAATGTCGGCTTTGCATATAGATTAATATTGTATTTATTCAAAGCTTTTGGAGGAGAACCAAAATTGGGTACTATTGTATATAACTACAGTAGTCGAAAAAATGAGTTTAGTAAATTGGGTATCTTACAACTCTCATATTTATCGTCTCCACAGATTGCCCGATTAGAGGAACTACAGCAGCTTCAAGAGCAGTACCCGGGATTGGTGATACGTGAAGTACCTAATAAGCCGCCGCCTCCATATACACCACCACTGTCATCGTCATCGCCATCGTCGTCGTCATCATCATCATCATCTTCGTCGTCAGTTTCCTCCTCACCAGCTAGACCTCCTGCTTATAGTAGTCCACCAAGTGACCGTGTTGCTCCCAGCTTACAGCCACTTAGTCCTGAAAATACCACTGGGTATTGTTTTAGTATTCTGTATTTTCTTCTTTAGTCTGTGTTTTACTTGATGGTCTGCAACTAATTATTATGTTTCAGATGTGTATTTTCCTCCTCTTGTACTGCACTCTGCTAGATTGTATCTTTACTGTTGTCTTTTTCTGCTTCCATTGACCCCTTGCATTGTGAAGCCTTGTGACCACTTCTGGAGGCTTAAATCACACTGTTTACATTATGTTTACAGCATTGGATGGAGTAATGAGCTTAATTGGGGTTTCTAGCATTGATAATGACAATTGACACATCGCAACACTAATCAAACTCTATACAGCATCTCTTGTCATTCTCAATGATAGAATTGCCAACACACACATTATTCACATTTGAAATCATTGACATAATTTTACCAGTGTTGTTTGATCCCTAGGATAACATCAGTGCAAGGGGTCTATACTTTGGCTGTCAACCCTTTACACATTTGTTTAGGCAACTTGCATTATTTTTGTTTGATTCCCTTTGCATATCTTTTATAGTGCATGCTTCTGGCATGTGCGTCACCTGTGTGATGAAACCTACTTGCACAACTCATTAATGTTTTTGCATGGCTGATAAATAACATTTGATGAGGACAAGAACTTGTGATACCCAGTTTATAAATAAACGGTACACTATTTGGTTACGTATGGTTGTGAACTCGTAGATGGACAACTTGTGTTTGGCATTCATTATTTACTAGTGATTAGCAGTCCTCTGCATTAGACGTGATTTGCACAGTTTTTATCTTTTTAGTCATTTTATTTCTTAATTTTACGTGGTAAAGTAGCATTTGTATGGTCCAAGAGTTCTCCTCTGAATTTTATATAATTAAGTTTTAAGTGTTGGTAAAAACTTGAATCAAATATTTAAACTTTTGAAATAATATTGTGAATATTATTATTCTCAGTGTATATGCTGGTTGACCTCAATAATCCTACAAGCAGGAATGTAAAGTCACTTGTGTAACATGTGGCTTTGCCTGAGAAATATTTGTCAAATTTTGGCCAGTATTTTCCATATTATAAAATTATGCATTTGCAGCCTCTATTGCTTGGAAGGCTCATTGCTAATTTCAGTAGATTTCTGTTATGCTGCTCCAGATCTGAAACTACATGATTTGACAGTGTCAGGATCTACTTTTCTTATATTTGTGATAATTTTACCTTGTTTAATGGTTTACCTGGTTTAATTTTACCTGGTTTAATGCTCCTCTTGCTCCATGCAAGAGGAGCACATGAACTGAACAGGATTAGATGCAAAATGTATATGGTGCGTTGGTAGATTTGACATGAGAGGAGTGGGTGATTATACATATTTATAAATGTGATAGAAAGGAGAAGAGGATGACCAGTAAGGTAATGGGTATATGTTAGCAAGGCCTGTAATAGCATGGAGGAAGGTGCAGAAATGTGTTACTGCAGCAGGCCTACATGGGGAGGGGCGAACAGTTTACCATTCTAATGTATAATGGCTAGTGGTGTTCTCAATGCAAAAAGAGTAAATAGATTTGCTATTTGAAGTAAGTGACCCCCCCCCCCCTTTCCTTCTATTTTGCTCTTTATGTGCAGTATGTAAAATGGTAAGGGATTTAAATTTTATGAGTGTCATCTGGGCTTAATGCCTTATGATAATTACTGCACTTTCAACTTGATGACCTGGCTTTAAAAACTACATTGTAGCAAATGTAGAAATATATAGATCTAAGATACAATATCTGTCTGTCCAATAGTGGAAGCCAAATGGTTGGGGGCTAGCCTTGCCCAACTTTGCAGAGTGAATGGTCTTGGAAACAGGACAAACATAGGCTGGTTGGGGTCGATCCTATTGGTAATAGTTATTAAGAGAGCGGAATCAGACCAAATAATGACCCTCCCCCCCCCCCCCTTAGTCTAATAATGATAATAATAATAATAATTAATTTAGGAAAAGTACATACATAAATGCAGAGTTACAGTACAAACATTGTTTGATTTATAGAAAGAGGTAGTACATACAATACCTAAAGCCACTAGTACGCATAGCGTTTCTGGCAATTGGTTAGCCATGTCCCTAGATTTCTATATTTTTGAGAGAGAGGGGGGGGTGAAATACAGAGAAATACAGACACAGACACACAGACTGAGACAAAGAAGGGGAAAGGGGGGAGGGTATGTTTTAAAGAGAGGGAAAGAGAGATGGGGGAGATAGGTGGAGAAGGTAAAAATTTGGGAGAGAGAGAGAGAGAGAGAGGGGGATCGGGAGAAAGATGGAGAAGAGGGGATAAGGAATGAAATGAGATGGGGGGGGGGGAAGAGTGGTAGAGAGATCAGGGTGCAGTTGGTACCTCTTATAGTGTATGTATAAGTAATATCCATTAAGTATAGGAAGAAAGTTACATTTATAAATATATTTTCGTAGGATGAGTGGAATTAAGAAGCTAACTTGTGTAGATGTGTAGACATTTACTTGCAGTTTTGACTGTACTGTACATTTAAATGTAAATATCAAATTATAATTGCAGTGTTGTACATCGTTTGAGTAAAGCAGATCAACGGAATCGTGCAACAGAGGTCTTCCACTCTGTACCATATAAACAAGAAGAGGTGATACCTATTATCAGCGACTTTCTTGAATGTCTCTATGTCACATGGGAAAGTGGCTTTGATCCTGGTGATGCAGAGGTGCCTCGAGCAGTTATGTCTTCATTATCTGACAGGTAAAGAGAGCTATATGTTGTGAGATTTGGGATGCTTTTAGGCTGCATCGTTTCACTTATTTTAAATTTGTGACACTCCATAATGGACTATGTACTCTTGGAAAACAGAAAGATAAGTTACATATGTCTGATGATATGATAGTGCTATATAGGATAAGATTTGATGGTAAATTGATGATGGGGGCAAATTTACAGACAATGCAAAAATTGGTCGGGAAGTAAATTCAGAGGCAAGACTCGATACTACTTGAAAACAATCTAGATGGGTTTTTAAAATGGACAAAGGATTGCTAGGTGCAGTTTAAAAGCTGAAAATTTAGGGTTCCAAAATAAGCTAATACTAATAGTTATTAGTATTATTAACTATTATCAACTAGATATTGTTGAAATTTCTCAAGTTAAATGTGAAAATCATTTGGGAGTCATGATAAGGAAGGATCATAAACCAAAGACTCAAAGCAGAAATGAATAGGATAAAGTTAATAGGATACTTTACTAGACTTTATTTCTAGGAGGAGCATTATCCATAAAACACTAAAGTTGTTCTTCAGCTTTATCTTTTCCTTGTTACCCCCATTTCGATTATCCAGTTCCGTTTTAGTTGCTGTACTAGAGAATGAACATATTGTATCTTCGCTTGATCTGGGCTCTAACTTTGGCTGATGTACTTTTGCATGCTTTCTGAAGTAAACCTGATCTGCAATTTTGTTTTAGAGTGAAAGTTTCATATCTTGTGTAGCTATCATTCACAATTCCTTTACAGTTTAGAGATGTCTAGATAAGCATCATAGTATAGATAGATGTAGGGGGTGGGTCATTATGTTTTTATTATCCAATTATTCAGTTTAATTGGATAATAATTCCGATTATTATCCAATTTATGGGGGTGAAGAGGCATTAGCCCAGAGAATATAAAATAATATATGAAAAGGCTTAAAGTATTAAGACTGACAGCCATTCTTTAATCACATCTTCCACATTCAAATAGCATTATGGAGAACCAGCACCACCACATTCTTGGCAAATCATTCACAGCAGTACTTCTCTGCTTCACATAACTTTGTTTATATAAAAACTCAAGCTAAGCACTGTAAAGTCTTGTTAAACATTAGCTCTTTAATAACTACTTGCATCTAGCCTCATTTACTACCAAATGTAAAAATTTCTTCACTCTGTCACCAATTTCTTTGATATTTATCGTGCCTGCTCACATTCTGGACATTCCTCTGTTATCTACACAATTACTCGAATACTCTCCACTCACATTTCTATCAATATTGCTATTTTGGAACAGGTCAGAGATGGTTACTTATTGCAGTTATAAAGGTTGATTACTGCTTGTCCCCAGTTACCAAGGTTTATTATTCCTGCCAAGTTAAAGACATATTTATTATTTGCCTAGCTGTGAGTAATGAGTTGACAGGTTTCACTGATGAAATTCTCCAAATAGGCTACTTGTTTCTGCAGTTTTATTCATTCTGTACAGTATTTCCAAAATATTACATAAGTCCAGTACTTTTAGTTTTGTTTGGAGTTAATTACTTTGCTTAACAAGTATTGTTCATGTAAAATAATTTTCATATATCATTGTTCGTTTTGATTACAGTCAAGATGAAGACAGTCTTGAAGATGAAGCCAGTGGCAGAATTTTCCGCCAATTGTTGTTTTCATTGGTCCGTGAGCTACTTTCTAAAGCCTATCAAGTTGAGCATGCCCCAGTGCCTCCACCATGGCTGAAGCAAGCCTTGCCCCCTACCCGGGTGCTGTTTGTAGTACGCACCAAGTCAAGGGAAGTCATGTACTCGCATGTTCAGGAGCAAATTAAAGTTTTGTTTGGATGGAAGCGATCCCCGGAGAAGGAAACACTGCTGGTTCGTTGGGCTCGGAAACATAGAGACCTTGTAGACCAGGTAAAGTATTTTATCACTGTTGTGTTGAAATTATGTAAATTCAGATACAGTATAGATGCAGTCAAGACAGATCGTTTATGTATCAGACTATTGTATATCATCTCATGGGACTTAATCACAAGTGTAAACCTACCTACTTATGTTTAATGGAAGCTGGATGGGCAAATTTATAAGTTATCAACCATAAGCTTAGCTTATGTTAAAAGAGCATAAGGCACATTCCTATATTAATCATTCATCTTTAATTTATAGTGCCCATTTTAAAATCAAAATATGCATCAAGTATTGACTTCTTCCCTAAAGCTTAGTAATCTCAGTGCTTCATTCCTTACCTTTATATTATCCACTTACCAAGGCATAATCCCTTACCTTGATTATCCCCTTACCTTGATATAACAAGAGGGGCTTGAGAATGCTATTTGTAGCTAGCTGGCTCTGTTGTTAGCTGGTGCCTTGGTGCATCTGGTAGGGTCTTCTGTGTTATATGTAACCATGCTGGCCTTCTGCCAGCATGGTTACACTTTGAGTATCTGAGCCACGGAACATCAGGGTAGAGGTTTGAAAACAGTTTCTCTGGGTATGAAGCACCCTGTCTTATATTAGCTTGGTCTTGTTATCATGTAGGTGGAATCTGGGATCTCTGAGGGTTAAACCAACATAATGCCATGACATGGATGGTTCTTTTGCTCTTCTGATGATGATAATGTGCATTTAACGAATCTAAACACAGTGAATGCAAAGACACTCATTTTACAGATTTAAAATGCCACATGTGCAACCATATAAGCATCAAGAAAATGACAAAAGCAATACAAATAATATCCAAACGACACATCAAAAAATGAAGAAACGACGACCTTTCTTCATTTTCTGATGTGTGGTTTAGATATCATATGGTTGAATGTCTGCAAAGCAATACAAACTTTAAAAACTCTTGAAGAATTTGACCCCAATATATGAATATAATATTACGGTGTCCAAGTCTGCAATGTACTCTACAGTCTAATAAGTAATGATAATGTCTTATCACAGACATAATAACATTGGATAAAAAACCAACACTTACGTATTTTATGTAATGATTTGAACTATGTCAATTCTTTCACACACTCATGAGTGCATTATCAAGGCCTGAGTATGTGGCACGGGCAAGACTTGGATCTCGACAATTAATACTAAATTAGGTATTAGTTGTTGAGATGCAAGTCTCGTTAAAACCATATACAGGACAGTACTCAGATCTTGATAGCGCACTTAGGAGAGGGGCAAAAGATATATGGTTGTTATCTATCTTGAGGTTATCTTGAGATGATTTCGAGGCTTAGTGTCCCCGTGGCCCGGGCCTCGACCAGGCCTCCTTTTTGTTACACACCCCCAGGAAGCAGCCCGTAGCAGCTGTCTAAGTCCCAGGTACCTATTTACTGCTAGGTGAACAGATGCATCAGGGTGAAAGAAACTCTGCCCATTTGTTTCCGCCTCCACCGAGATCGAACCTTGGAACCTCAGGACTACTCATCCGAAGCGCTGTCCACTCAGCTGTCAGGCCTCCCTAATAGGGGAGGTCAAGTTCAAATCTTTACATAAATACATTAGTGTCCTATAGTACTGTATATCAAATAGTCAAATTTTTTATCCTATAGTATAGTCAAATATTATATAATAAAAACAGAATATTGCAAACTTGGCCAAACGAGATCATGGCATCAGCATCACATATAGTAGAGGAAAATAAACCACAAAATGGCATTGGAACAGTTCCAGTATTGCAAGAAACTGATCAAAGATGAGAAAATACAGTACTAAATTTTAGAGATGAGGTTGGAATAAATAATCAGTGCCATACAATAAAGAGTATTAAAATACAATATATTAAACCATCCAATTAAAAACAAGAATTCACCAAGACTTGCACAAATTACTTTTGCCTTTAAAGGCTTTAAGTGAAAAGTGCTCTTCATAAACTCTTGATCACTTAAGGGAACCAGGTCAACTTTATTCTAGAATGATTTTCTAAAATATCTCAAATAATATTGTAAAGCCTACCGATTTGTGTATGAAGATTTGTTCAAAATTTGATGCTAGCCCTAAAAAATTGTTTTCTGAATTTCCTCGCAGAAAATGCAGACATATTTAGTCATACTGCATACTACTGAGCTACACACGATTATTGCAATATTTCCTTGCTACTAAATGGTAAAAAAGAAATATGTAATGTTGATAAATTTCTTAAAAAAAAAAGCACAAGATATAGCTAATAGTCTAGGCTTTAAAATGTCAATATTAAAAAAAAAAAATTAACAAAGTATTGAAAACTTTGACTCCATTTTCATGGGTCCTTTAAAGAGTGGTGTGAGGGATGACTTCCTAGAGGGAAAAAATATAAGTGAAGTACAGAAAATAAGATTGAAAAGCCTCTAAATGAGTACTGGTACCACATTAATAGAGATTGACATCAATGAATACTGGTAACACATTAATACAAAGCTTGAAGCTGATCCTTAACCCATATGGTAATAATGTATGCGTGTGTTTGCAGGTGCTGGTGAAAGAGCTTCAGGCAGAGGAATCTAGCTGGACGCAGTATGATGAGGATGAAGCTGCTGTCAAGACTCAAGTTGCCTGTGAAATTTTTGATAGTCTTATTGAAGAAACTGTTACCCTAGTCACGAGCATATTGGCTAGAAAAATGACATGTGCAGCACACTAGGAAGAGGAAGATTTGCCATGTATTTTATGAGTGTGAGTTAAAACTAATTTCACAAAAGTTGATTTTCTTGTCAAAAAGCTTGTTTTGCCAATTTGTTAATTCTAGTAATTTTAAAATATGATTTTTTGGCATAATATATTAATAATACTCATGCATTTGTAAAATAATGTGTAATGTATATATTTTTCTTTATGTGCTGTTGTACTTAGCCTGGTAAAAAGTAAGCAGTTGCAATGAAGAATATATTTTTGTAAATAATTGCCAATTTTTAAATTATTTTCTTAGGGACTACAAACTTTCCAGCCATTTGACGTCTGTGATATTTCAGGTGTGTCAAGTATTGTGTGATAATATACGTTAAGGACTCACTGTGCTAAGTTAACTTTTGTATTATGTAAGATTGTTTATACGAAGAAATGACTCGGGATTTTTTTCTCGGCAATTCTTGTAGAATCATGAAATTTTGTTTATTTGGTTTCATGTTTTGTCATGAGCCTCTGTTATCAGGATTATTTATTTATTTACTTTGTTTGTAGATTACATGAAACGTTTTAGATAAATAAACTTAACTATTCCATTTGGATGATTCCTAAGGCACGATCACTGGAGATTCCCTTGGACAAGATAGTGACAGTACAGACTGGGTGAATTTCTGCAGCAGCATAACAGGGATGTATCAAACATCTCTGTTGGGCTTTGCTGGAGTGAGCTTTTCTCCTAGTTCATCCTTGAGTGATCCTAGAAAGTATACTCAAATATTCAGTCTTTCCCATCCTTGCTTTGGATTACAAGGACTGCTAACAGCAGCTTGTCTACATGGCTGCTACTCCTAACTACCATAAGATACCACCACCAATGGCAATGATAAATTTTTAAGCAGAGTCCCTCCTCATTCTCCCCCACTAGTGTTTGTGACTGGCTCTGGACTGGATGTGGACACGTGCCTTGATTTTACTGGGTAGTTGGCTTCTGCTGTATATTTTCCAAGACATGTTATTTAGATATTTTTTTGTGTACTGGAGACTTCTCCTTGGGGGTCACTTGATTATCTTTGTATATAGAGGAATTGTTTCTCACTCAGGTCTGGCCTTGGCAGCGTTCTTTGTGGTTGTATTTATTATTCAGCCACAAGCTACCCTTGTTTCATTTCTAGTAATTTTGCTATCTGATACCATTTGCCATGATGAATGTGTGTGTGAATGGGCAAACTATTAATGGAGGATGCTGGCAGGCACGATGCCTTATGTAGTATTTTGATTCCCAGTGACCACTCTAGTATTTAGTCTTACAGTTGAGTTTGAGGTCAGTGCTGTATTGCTCCAGGCTGTTTGTAACTTTTGATATAGTTTGAATCTTGGCTGGCCTTCTTGTTCATGGTTGTCAATTGTCAGGCTTGTGTGCCTGATGATTCGTATGCATCAGGCTTCGGTTGGCCCACACTCAAAATTGATCTGAAACCACTGGTGCAATGGCAGACAGTTCTTAGCTTCTAGAAAGGGATCATAGGATCTCTTAATTTTAGAAACTAATTTTGTCCTGGTTTGAGAACTCGAGTCGAATCCTTTTGTAGGAAGAGTTCTGTTCAAACCTCGCTTTCAAACACTTTGGCTGGCAAGCAATAATTTTCCATACATCCTCCACTTGCTGTGTATAAGTCTCACTATTTTCTTAATGAACTTCTGAGTGTAATACCTTGGTAAGTAGGTTTTTGATTAAAGTTGGAAAGCTCTTTTTCCGAGTATAGTACACTGATGTTCCCATTTCTTTCCCTTAAGAGTCCCCAATTTCCTTGTGCATAGAGCTCTTTTTCATTATTTATTTTGTGGTGGTGCTCAAGGTCGGTGTTTGGGTGCTGACATGAATGCTGCCATCTGGTGTGAGTTGGTGGTAGCAGTCAGGTTGAGAATGTTTTGTTTTCTACCTACTTGGCAGGCTTTTTGATGCCAAATAGGAGAGGGAAAGGATTTGAGTGAGCATTTTATGGTCACTGGACTTGAGGTTTTCTCTGGTTCCTCCCTAGCGACAGAATAACCTTGTGGTACATATGAAAAGATCCATGTTAGACTGGTGCAGATTGTCACACTGTCCTAATTGTCATGATTCTGTCCAATGTGACCTACAGTGTTCTTGCCTTGGGGAGCATCCAGTCATCTTGCTCAGAAGTCGACTTTTCATTTTCACTCAGTGCCTGATTTTCTGCATAATTTGAACTGTTCATACAAGAAACAATGATATTTTGTTTACAGCAAAATATGGTGTTTACTATATAGTATTTTAATAATGCTATATAGAAAAGCATTGCATAATTGTTTTATATTTTTAATCAACCTTAAAATTTTAATGTACATATATTATTTAAATTTTTTTATTGAATAAAAGACTTGATCCTGTAATGCATTTTCCTTAATATTCTTTAAAAAAAATAATATTTGGCATAGTTTTATACAGTTCTTCAAGAAATGTTTTACAGCATTGAGAACTGGAAGTCAACTGCATTTCCATCAGGCTTTTGGGAACCTGATGATTTGTTTGCAGGCTTTAGCTTTTGTAGTAGGAATATAGGCATTTGCTCCTTCTGGCAATCCTTGGAGAGGCACGCTGAACCATTTACAACTTAGCTGATTTACATTGGCCCGGTGCTTGGTCTACTGCTAAAATCCTGCCAATTCACCCATCATTGATCTGGAAGTGATGCTTCCATTTAAATGTAGTGGCAAGGCATTCTCAGCCTCTACAAATTTTATTGTATGGTTTAGCATTTAAGTGAGGTTTGTATTTATAAACATGTAAAAATGGGAATAGAAGTTATATATACAGCCCACACTAAAGTACTGTACTAGAATATTGTATACAGTACTGACATCGAAATTGCACTTCGTGAAGCATAAATGGAAAAAAGTACGGTGGTTTGTAACAATGCTAGGGCTTGAATAAAAGAGAACTAAGCTGAGGGGGCAGGTTAAGGTAACTTGGTTTACTAACAGCTTTTTAAAGAAGGATTAAAGAGTACATGGCGACTATATATAAAGTACTGAAGGAAATAGGTAAGGTGGACAAGGAGAGTCTAAATTAACAATTAGCATTCTTATGATGCTAAAGCATGCCATCTGTGCTGTGCTTCGACAGTAAACGCTCTGTTGACACTGAAATGCATCATATATCTATTTCTAAAAATGATTCTTCTGTAGGAGTCGTTGCTGACTCCCTGAAACAATCTTATTGAGATTGTTCTATCTACCAGTTCACATTAGAAGTGGGAGTTTATTTGGCCTACTGGGCACCAGAACAAGAACCTGACCCTCTCAAAGAGGTGCAGAAAATGACAGTCACCCCCCACTGGGAAAGCATTCAGAAAGTCAGCAAAGCAATACAGACAACCATAAAGTTCATAGAAACCAAAGCCTCAAAGACTGCCAAATAATGAACAAATCCACAAGGGCCGTGATGAGGATTCGAACCTATGTCCGAGAGCATCCCCGACGCTGCCTTAATCGACTGAGCTACGACGTGGTCAAAAGGAGTTGGAACCAAAGTTCTACTGAACTTACTGGATCCTGCAGCCTCTCCGAGGCACAAACCAGGGTTTTACACAACTCCCCCATGCACTCGAGTTATGTCAATGAAGTAAGGACGAAGAGGGAGAACGGCCTATTGACATAGCTCGAATGCATGGGGGGAGTTGTGTAAAACCCTGTTTTGTGCCTTGGAGAGGCTGCAGGATCCAGTAAGTTCAGTAGAACTTCGGTTTCAACTCCTTTTGACCATGTCGTAGCTCAGTCGATTAAGGCAGCGTCTGGAATGCTCTCGGACGCAGGTGTAACACCGTAAAGGTGTTTTGTTTAGTTTTGTATTTAATATATATATAGTATATGAGTCGAGCCAGACAAGGATTTGAGAGGTGCCATTCTGTTGGCCTAAAAGTCACACCTCTACAGTGTTAATGACCACCAAGTGACCAAGGTCAGGTCGTGTGAAATTGACCTTGTTTCCGCAAAGCTCATAATTGCAGGCGGCTAGCCGGTGGGTCCTTCAAACATGCCGCAAGTTTAAGGAGTGGCTTGGTAGAGGGCCTGAGGCTATCTACTTGTGGGCGGAGTTAGCTAATTGGTCCCCAAATAAATACTCGGGGAGCTGTAGATTCAGGAGGAAGAGTTAGACAGAGACAGAAGACAGGAGAAAGTACGAAAGTACTTAAGGAAATTCTTGTTTCAATTCTTCATTTGTGGTCTGACAGTCACATTTTTCATCACGTGTTAATTTTCGTAATTTACACACATATACACACACACACACATATTATATATATATATATATATATATATATATATATATATATATATATATATATATATATATATATATATATATATATATATATATATATATATATATTTATATATATATATATTACACGAGCGGCAAGTTTTCTCTTTCAGCGCCTCAGTGTTGCGATCCAGAGGGGGAATGCCCGCTGCATCCTCGGTTCCTGCCCGGCGTCGGAGGAGTTCGAGGAAATCAACAGCCTCTAGGAAGCGAACTATTTCTTGTGTCCTCTTAATGTTCATTTTTTGTATAAAATCAGATATGTAACTGTATAACATTGCATAATAAAGTGTACACCATAATAAAAAAGGGGGGTGGTAGGAGAAGTGAACACACTTTCGTATTCAGAGTTAAATGGCAAGTTTTTCCATGAATGCTCTTGTGTTCCTTTCTCTGAGGCTATGGGTCCCTATAATTGCACCAGAGGTGGTACCCCCCTAATATAACATTATATATATATATGTCGTACCTAGTAGCCAGAACGCACTTCTCAGCCTACTATGCAAGGCCCGATTTGCCTAGTAAGCAAAGTTTTCATGAATTAATGTTTTTCGACTACCTAACCTACCTAACCTGACCTAACCTAACTTTTTCTGCTACCTAACCTAACCTAACCTATAAAGATAGGTTAGGTTAGGTAGGGTTGGTTAGGTTCGGTCATATATCTACGTTAATTTTAACTCCAATAAAAAAAAATGACCTCATACATAATGAAATGGGTAGCTTTATCATTTCACAAGAAAAAAATTAGAGAAAATATATTGATTCAGGAAAACTTGGCTTATTAGGCAAATCGGGCCTAGCATAGTAGGCTGAGAAGTGCGTTCTGGCAACTAGGTACGACATATATATATATATATATATATATATATATATATATATATATATATATATATATATATATATATATATATATACTGTATAGGGGTACTACCTCTGGTGCAATTGTAGGGACCCATAGCCTCGGAGAAGGGGGAATACAGAGCATGCAGAGAGAAACAATTGCCTTTTAACTGTAAATACGTATGAGTGTTTACTTCTACCACACCTTTTTTTTATTATATTTATGTTGTAAACTTTTTTATACACAGTTGCATAGGTAAGTTACATATCTTACTGGTTACAAAAAGGGGACATTAAGAAGAAATTAAAGAAAATTTGTTTCCTATAGGCTGTAGATTTCTTCGAACTCCTCCGACACCGGGCATATATATATTTTTTTTTTTAAATGTACGAATTTGTGTGTGAGTCCAAGCTCAAAACTACGATATATAAATTTTAATGTCATGAATGGAAGACATTGAAGCAGGAAGGAGATGAGGAAGACAGGGATGAAGCAAGGAGATGAGGGAGCCAATAGAGACATGAAGGAGACAGTAGGGAGGCAGGGATGCAGCAAGGAGATGAGGGGGGAATCAGGGAGATGATAGAGGATGGCGGGCATATGACGGAAGGCTAGAAGGATGCAGCAATAAAATGAATCAGAGAGGAGGCAGGGATGCAGTAGGACACAATAGGGAAGGGAGGCACGGAGATGAAGAGGGGACGTCGGGATGCAACAAGGAGATGAGGAAGGAGGCAAGGCGAAGAGGGGAAGAAGACTGGGATGCAGGAAGATGAGGGAGGCAGGGAGATGAGAGAGAGGGGGGAGGGGGAAGGCAGAGATGCTGCAGGCAGACTTAGTTATAGGGTTTGACCGATCACACGTCAAACAGTACTACAAAACAGCAATGTGTTTATTCATGAGTGTAGAACTGGGGGGCCTCGCCCGCGACCGTCCCCGCCCTCTCCTCCACTCTTGGCAACATTTCAAAACTAAGAATCTTGGAGAGGCCTTCCGTAATCCACTTGCCTGCCATATTAGGGCGTCCCTCACTCCTTCAGAACACACCGGCGTGGGTGCCAAGACACGCCCCCTGGGCCAGGCCTCCGCCTCCACCAGCCAATCACAGCCCGTCTGCAACACACGTGCCAGCTGTCCGATGTCAATGCAGGTGCCAACCATACACTTATCGCTTCCCGTTCGACTTTATTACATTGATTTCGGCACTCAAGTAGTTGCTTTTTATGTAAGAAATTGAAAGTGGATCTCGATAACAGCTGTCAAAACATTTTTTTTCCTCTTGTAGAGGAAGCCAGCAGCCGGCCTGACGCGGCTGCCACCTACCGGCAGGTGAGTTACCTCCCTCCTTTTCACCCCGCAGAACTCCTTTCCCCCCCTGCAACCTATTCCATCCCACCAACCCATCCCATCCCCCCTCCCCTTCACAGCCTCCACTCGTCAAAATCCTCCTTTATGTAACCAGTCCATCAGGTTACTTTCGCCTACGCCCCCCCCCCCCTTTCCCCGCCAAAAAAATACAGTAGCGAGATTACTCGTCCTATACAGCAAAATAGAATTTAATGTAAAATATGTTGTTGGATCATGGATGAGGGAGAGATTTCTGCAGATGGCGGCAAGCGCCAGCTGTGGGTCCCAGCACCACCTGCTCTGCTCCGTAATTATTCACCTTTTTCTTCTTGGTCGCCGCCTCGGCCTTGCCCGACATTTTTTGGTTCATGTTAAAGTTTTTGTTTTTAAAAGAACATTGACCGGGTGTTAGATCATTAGTCAACCGACGGATGGGAAAGCGGAGCCCAAGAGCTAACAGCTTGATCCTGCAGGCACAAATATATGAAAATATACACAGGTAAAAGGGGGTGGTTATCTTGAGATGATTTCGGGGCTTAACGTCCCCGCGGCCCGGTCCTCGACCAGGTCTCCTTTTTGGTACACAGCCCCAGGAAGCAGCCCGTAGTAGCTGTCTAGCTCCCAGGTACCTATTTACTGCTAGGTAACAGGGGCAGCAGGGTGAAAGAAACTATGCCCATTTTGTTTCTGCCTCCACCGGGGATCGAACCCGGAACCTCAGGACTACTAATCCGAAGCGCTGTCCACTCAGCTGTTAGGCCCACCCGTGTATAACATCAAACATATCACCAGGAGGTTGCATAATGTTATCGGCGGATAGAGCCTTTGAAAATACATAAAAAAGACTTTAAGGAATCTAAATAAAGTATCATTATGTATATTGTTCATCACATATGTGAGACCGATGCTGGAGTATGCAGCTCCAAAGTTGTAAAAACCAAGATACCGTGCCATAGTTAGGACATACACGATACTTCGTGTATGAAACATTATCAATATAGTGCACAAAGCAGCCTCTTTTTAAAGAGGTAAGATCTCAATGACAGGACACAATGGGTGGGTCCTGGGCTTGACCAACGTACTTTTTAAGACAGTAGTAGTATCTAAAGTTGTTGACCAGACCACACACTAGAAGGTGAAGGGACGACGACGTTTCGGTCCGTCCTGGACCACTCTCGACTTGAGAATGGTCCAAGACGGACCGAAACGTCGTCGTCCCTTCACCTTCTAGTGTGTGGTCTGGTCAACATACTTTAGCCACGTTATTGTGACTCATCGCCTGCAGTATCTAAGGTTATTGTTGTAAACTTATGGACCCTGTAGAACGTGCTGATGATTTTTTTACTGCGCGAATATTTAGTATGACAGGTTCAGTGTGAGATCTGAATCACCGGGATCGCTTAAAATCCCTCAAACTGTACTCCTTGGAGCGCATACGATAAAGATACATCATAATGTACTTCAGGAAAATATTAGAAAGCTTGTTTCCAATTACATGAAAATATTTCCTTGCGATACCAGGAGGCTTGGTCAAAGACCGAGTCCCGGTGACGTTCCAGCCCTTTCTCTTGATTTGCCACTCCTTAAAAAGTCCAATATTTTAACCAAACCAAAAACGTACGAACTCAACCAACAGGTTACCTAATCTATCGAGTCCGATGTATAGAAAGCGTAGATATTTGCGTGCCGTTAATTTTCTTAATAGGATGCCTTTGTAGCGTTAGCTTCGTTAACGTGAAAAGCGTGACCTATTAGTCGAGAGAACGCGTTGTTGTCTCAAAAGATGGGGCCAGGCTAACGGACCACCAGGGATAGGACCACAACGAAGCGGGGTAATAATGGTGGCTGTAGACCTGAATTTACCAAAGAATTATTAGTACGAATGTCTAAAATTAAAGCGGAGACTTCGCAAAAGCCTCGAGACGAAGAACAGCTAGAGAAAACCATTCCCGAATTGAAAAGTTATATACGACATGATCCATTGACTCCTGGGTCACATTGGACGACTTGTGGTTAAGCCGCGGGGCTGAGGAGCTTGACTTCGACCTCTGAGAATACTTACAGATACAGAGAGAGCGAGAAGGCGTTCGAGGCTGCCACAGTGTCCACACCCTCCTCATCTTAAAGTCCTGCCGAGGCTCGTTGGGTAGCTGAGGAGCGTTGTCAGGTCTCTGCCCGTTCTGATATTTCTGACATGTCGTTGTCTCCTCCTGTAATGCTGACATGACGTCATGTCTCGACTTTTTATGCTGATATTACGTTTCGTCTTCTTGTCGTTCTGACGTGAAGGTGCGTAATCTTGTAATACTGATATGACATCATGTTTTCTTGTAATACTGACATGTCGTCATGTATCTTACTTCACTAAGATGGCGCCGATATGTTGGTAGATACTGGCGTCGACATGTTGGTCGACACTTGTGCCCACATGTTGGTCGAATACTGGCGTCGACCTGACAGTCGACACTGGCGTTGACATGTTGGTCGACACTAGCGTCGGATTATCTAATCCCCGCACACCTCATGAATCCCTACACCTACCCGTATTTAGATTGGATTTTATATGCTCACAGACCCAATTATTTGTTAATAATGACAGAGTCTGACAACACAACAAAATTAATATACTACACTAAACGAGAAAAACAAATATATCAAATTACAAACAAGTTCATCACAGGAAAAACAAAAATAAAAACTCGTCCTAAACCCTTAAAATAAATTCTATATTATTTTGATAACTTTTTTCCCCACAATTATTATTAATAGTGTATTGTTTTAACGTATTTTAATATCGTGTATGTTTTAAAGTAATTATTGTATTCCTATCAATTTTTTTTATTATTTTTATTATTATTGAGAAACTTAGTTTTTACAAGGTCGTAGTACTTGAATGGCGCTGAAGGACAGGCCCAATATATGAAGGAGTGTATTATTAAACCAAATTTTCCAATATAATTTTAGGAAAGGATGTAGGTTACATCCGAAAATTAGATTTTTAATATACATAGATATTGGGTCTCTCCTTCACCTTCATTATTATTATTATTATTATTATTATTATTATTATTATACATTAGTGTACCATGTATGTCAACAAAGTGACATAACAAATGTATGTATAGTACTGTATAAACATTATTATTATTAATAAATTAATAATACAAATAATAATATTATTATTATTATTAAAGTTAACAAGCAATTATTAACACAGTAAAAGGGACATCATGCCAGCACTACTTCCATAAATAAATAAATAAAACGACTTGAAAATAAATGACTGCAAAATGCATTAGCCATATTGCTGTAGATGAGTGAAACTTGGCAACTATAGGGAACTATCAGGAGAAAGCGTCAAACCACTGTGACTATATAGCACTGGGAAGAAATCAGGATAAGGATATGGGATGGGACGGAGGGAAGGAATGGTGCCCAACCACTTGACCGGTCGGGGGATTGAACGCCGACCTGCAAGAAGCGAGACCGTCGCTCTACCGTCCAGCCCAAGCTTTGAAACTTCACAACCCAAGGAGATAATTGTTATAAACAACCTAGCAGTGCTTCGGAGCTCATCAATTTTTTTAATAAACGAAGCCGTTATGTTGTATAGGTTTCCTAACCGATTCTGCACAAGTTTTGTTGAATCGTGACCCCTGTTGGCTAGGAGGTCACGTTTCTCTCGGCAGAAATAATGAATCTAGTGTCATAAATTATATTCGCTATTTCTCAAAACTTCAGAAAAATCATACAGGCTGTACTGAATACTCCAGTAAAATTTTGCATCAGCAAATGTAATATATTTTTTATAAATTCTCAGGACAATAAAAATATAATCTTAATTTAAAACACACACGGCAGGCTGACAACAAAACACTAAATTGGCCGTCTGATTTCGCTATCATATAGTATGGTAAAATCCAATTTATGAACATGTAGATATAAAACGAAATAATTAAAGGGGAAAGAAGTAATAATTCAGAGATTTTGGAATAATTGTTTTTTTGTTTTCCCGTGCACAAAACAACAATGGTGGCAGCAACCAAGACACCAACAATGGTGGCAGGAACCAAGACCCCCAACAATGGTGGCAGCAACCAAGACCCCCAACAATGGTGGCAGCAACCAAGACACCAACAATGGTGGCAGCAACCAAGACCCCCAACAATGGTGGCAGCAACCAAGACCCCCAACAATGGTGGCAGCAACCAAGACCCCAACAATGGTGGCAGCAACCATGACCCCCAACAATGGTGGCAGCAACCAAGACCCCCAACAATGGTGGCAGCAACCAAGACAACAACAATGGTGGCAGCAACCAAGACCCCAACAATGGTGGCAGCAACCAAGACAACAACAATGGTGGAAGCAACCAAGACCCCAACAATGGTGGCAGCAACCAAGACAACAACAATGGTGGCAGCAACCAAGACCCCAACAATGGTGGCAGCAACCAAGACAACAACAATGGTGGCAGCAACCAAGACCCCAACAATGGTGGCAGCAACCAAGACAACAACAATGGTGGCAGCAACCAAGACAACACAACCTTAACCAGAAATAGAGATTAGGTTTGCCAGTCATAATCTCTAGCTGTCATAAGGCCAATGTTATACACTGTTATTTACAGTGTAAATAACATTGTTACTGCTGGCAGCAGATGATGGCAGCTGTTGTTACTGCTGGTGGCAGGTGAGGGCAGCTGTTGTTACTGCTGGTAGCAGGTGAGGGGCAGCTGTTGTTACTGCTGGTAGCAGGTGAGGGGCAGCTGTTGTTACTGCTGGTAGCAGGTGAGGGGCAGCTGTTGTTACTGCTGGCAGCAGGTGAGGGCAGCTGTTGTTACTGCTGGTAGCAGGTGAGGGGCAGCTGTTGTTACTGCTGGTAGCAGGTGGGGGCAGCTGTTGTTACTGCTGGTAGCAGGTGGGGGCAGCTGTTGTTACTGCTGGTAGCAGGTGAGGGGCAGCTGTAGTTACTGCTGGTAGCAGGTGAGGGGCAGCTGTTGTTACTGCTGGCAGCAGGTGAGGGCAGCTGTTGTTGGTGCTGTCTGTAGGTGACAGACTACTCTTTTTTTGCGAGTGGTCTTTCCGGATCTATTTGGTGCGAGTGGTAGTGCGGAAAGGAATGGAAATGACCGCCTAGTGAGCGACCAGCAGGTGGCCACGAGCGTGGTCTACGGGTTTACATGGATACCCGCGTGTCACCGAGTGTTGCAGCTTGATTGGCGCTGTGTTTGTGTTTACAGTTACCCTCAACACAAGGGGCGCGGGGGGGGGGGGGTATTTGTGCACTGTAATCACTGAATATCTGATTAATTTGCAGTGAAACATATTGCAACAGGGGTAAGGCGAATGCAGGAGGCAGCGGAAGGTGCAGGTGGAGCTGGAGGCTGTGTTGTGTTAGGAGCCTCGACCAGTAGGGGAGCGTCGCGAGCGCCAAGCGGATAACCGTTATTAAAGAGAACCTTTCGTAAGACATGCAGTTTGTTCTGCATTTCGATGCGACGTGAACAGCCGTGAAACCTTCCAGCGTCACTGACACTTCAAGGTCACCTTTTGCCTTCTGAGTTAATAGGGATAAAATAAGAACACTTAATGGACAGTAAGACACACACACACACACACACACACACACACACACACACACACAAACACACACACACACACACACACACACACACACACACACACACACACATACACATACACATACACACACACACACACACACACACACACACACACTACAGAGAGAAAGATCTAGGAATTGATATCACGCCAGACCTGTCTCCTGAAGCCCACATCGAAAGAATAACATCGGAGGCGTATGCGAGGCTGGCTAACATCAGAACTGCCTTCAGAAACTTGTGTAACGATTCTTTCAGACCCTTGTATACCACGTATGTAAGACTAATCCTGGAGTATGCGGCTCCAGAATGGAGCCCGTACCTTGTCAAGCACAAGACGAAACTGGAAAAAGTTCAGAGGTATGCCACTAGGCTAGTCCCAGAACTAAGAGGCATGAGTTACGAGGAGAGACTGAGGGAAATACTAGGTAAGTACACACACACACATTCCCATGAAGCAGCCCGTAGCAGCTGTCTAACTCCCAGGTACCTATTTACTGTTAGGTGAACAGGGGGGATCAGGGTGAAAAAAAACTCAGCCCATTTGTTTCTGCTTCGGCACGGAATCGAACCCGGGCCCTTAGGACAACGATCCCCCCCCCCGGAGCGTTGTCCACTCAGCCTAGAGGCCTTATAGGTGTGTGTGTTCGTGTACCATCCGTGTTAAATAATCCATCTTTGTCTACTCTGTCAATTCCCCTGAGAATCTTGTATGTGGTGATCATGTCTCCCCGAGCTCTTCTGTCTTCCAGCGACGTGAGGATGTGCTTGCGGGGGTTGAACTCTGGCTCTTGTGTGTGTGTGTGTGTGTGTGTGTGTGTGTGTGTGTGTGTGTGTGTGTGTGTGTGTGTGTGTGTGCGTGTGCGCGTGTGCGTGTGTTAGAGAAATATATATGTATTAGACATAATAGAGGAAAAATAGATTGGTTAGAAAGGCGGGGTCCAAGAGCTAATATAGCTCCATTCTGCAGGTACAAATAGTAACTACAAACAGTAAATACACACTAAACATTTACACATTTACGAAGGAGCTGGACCTAGTGACCTTAGACAAAAGAACGTAAGAATAATTATGACAAGAAATTGCTTAATTAGCCATCGTGACTAATAGCACTTGGAAGGGCCATGAAGACAGACTTAGAACAGGGATACGAAGACAAGCAAATAGCTGGGTTACGAGGAAATGGAAATGGTCCCCAACCACTTGGACTATCGGGGATTGAGCGCCGACCCTGCAAGAAGCGGAACCCAGAGAGAGAAGACACGATAAAGACATCAAATACTAGACGAGAATTGACATTTTTGGAAATATATTTATTATGAATAGCAACATAACGAGAGGATAAGGATGGGAGTTAAAGACACATTAGCCAAAGAGATGTGAAGGGACCTATCAGGGGGGGAAAGCGCCAAGCCATTATGACTATATATAGCACTTGGAAGGGGTCAGGATAAGAATTTGGGATGGGACAGGAGAAAAGGAATGGTGCCCAACCACGTGGACGGTCGGGGATTGAACGCCGACCTGCATGAATACTTTCTTCACTTAATAGTAGTAAAAGAAATGTAACCTAAACGAGGGATTAGACACCAGCTCCATTCAC